TGTCATTGAGCTATCAGCTGCCAGCAGTTTTCGGACAAAGAAGTTCTTAGTTCTTACTGAATCCAATTTTATTTCAACAAAAGATTGTCACTGTTCTATTTTTCTTCTTAAACGTTTTTGAAAAAGCGCTGAAGAAGTCTTTGATAGACGAAACCGGTCCGATTATTCATTTTCTAATTGTTTTTTTGAATATATTCGTAGACTACTGGCTCTTTACTACAAAATTGAGAATGTTTGGTATTACTTTGACCCGAACGACGTGCAGCTGAATTTTCCCTCTTGAATGATTATGGACAGCTCGCAAAATTAACTTCAACCTAAACTACCGACAAGCAGAAGAAAATCCGATACAAGCCTACGTCAATCCTCTCACATTGTTCAACCGTTGAAACGTTAAAGGCATTTGTTCAGTCCGAGTCGCTATGTCGACCACCCGCACCGTGCTGGGGGGGGGGGGCGTTTTTACGCCCTTCCCCTCAGGTTTTTCGCGAATATCTCAAAAACGGCGACGCGACGCGTAGCGTCATTCAAGGTCAGGTCACCAGGTAACGTCAAGTGACCTTACCTCAGAAAAAAATTGAAAGCTCGCTGTAGCTACACCGACTGAGCGATCACTTTAAAACTTTCAGTACTTGCTTAGGGTAACAGTATGTATAAAATGGATACCTCGGATTTTTATGTCTGTGACCTAAGGTCAGGTCAATTTTGCGACTGCTACATTAGGTATAAGTCAACGGGAGAAAATTAAAATGCGCCTTTTTTGGACGAATTTCGTTCTACACCCTCTCAAATATCGGTCCATTGGTAAACATGACACTCTGAATCGGAAAATTGCACCTGTGACCCCCTGTGTGTGCCCCTGAGGTCATTTTAGGACATAAAAAATCTTCAGCAGTTCTTTGACTTTTGACAGACGTGCTAGAACGGTGAAAACACCGTTGATCTGAGGTCAAATTTGAGGTCAATTAGAGCGGTGCCCTCTGGGGGCTAGACCGTTGATCTGAGGTCAAATTTGAGGACATGCTGGCGAAAGAGCGTTAAAAGAGCTATCGAATGCGCTTTTCCGCGGCGCTGTGGCTCTATTGGTTCCCGAGTTAGCCGTCGGTTGCGAAACCGTTTAAATAAACAAAATTTAACCTTTGCTGAACCCTGGTGACCTGACCTTTGCCCTAACCTTAAAATGACCGAGTGTTTTCCTCCTTATTTTTGACGCTCTTTCGATTGCCGCTTACCGCGTGTCGTTACGTGACCCAGGAGCCGAGCTAGACGGAGGGGCGTGAACCCCCCCCCCCCCCCAGCACTCGATGGAAAGTTCATGCCACCAACACGGCGCGGGTTAATTGCTATGTTAGCTAGCTCCTGTTGTAAGCTGTGGAGTCGTGGACCTGATCTTGAAGGAACTGGGCCTAACATTTTCATAGCAAACGTAAAAAAATGTTTAATAGGTTGCGCAAAAAATAGCATCTCTTTTATGAAACATTTGCGAAACCTTCAACATCATCCCCAGACCCCATTAGTGTCTAGCTCCCAATGACGACCATAAAAGCGTCCCCATCCCGTCATATGCGGCGGAACGGGGAGGGCACCGGGGCACCGTGCCCCCCTTTGATTTTGGCATTTCAACATTAGCCCTATGAGCGTTGCATGAAAATAATAGTACCAAAAGTCGGCAGTGCCCCACCCCCTTAATTGTAGGTGTTCCGCCGCTACTGCATCCCGTCAACGTGGGTTTATCATAAGGATGCTAAGATTTAATTTACAATCCGAGGCTGTAATGATGGAAAGCAAATTTACATTTTACATGTGAAACAAGCTGACACAACTAGATATCTCCTCTCTCGCTCCCTCTCACTGATTTACCCATTGCCTTCTATCTCATTTTACCCTCTCTGGTTTTCTTTTCAGTTTTCTCTCTCTCTCTCTCTCTCTCTCCCTCTCTCTCTCTCTCTCTTGCTCTCTATCTCTCTTTCTCGCTCTCTCGCTCTCTCTCTCTCTCTCGCTCTCTCTCTCTCTCTCTCGCTCTCTCTCTCTCTCTCTTGCTCTCTCTCTCGCTCTCCCCCTCTCTCTTTCTCTTTCTCTCTCTTTCTCTCTCTCTCCCTCTCTCTCTCTCTCCCTATCTCTTTCTCTCTCTCCTCTCTCTCTCTTTCTCTATCTCTTTCCTCTCTCTCTCCCTGTCTCTCTCTCACCCTCTCCATCTCCCTCTCTCTCTCTTGTCTCTCTCTCTCTCTCTCTCTCCCTCTCTCTCTCTCTCTCTCTCTTTCCTCACAATATTCTCGACTGTCACAGCGTTGTAGGGCTTGTTTCCAGACAGGTCCCGGCGCTCCCCACTCCGCAGGCCTTAGCCCACACGGCTCAACGCCCAAACACCCTCCGGCGGATGACCTCTGACCTCGGCGACCTGACCCCAGCCGACCGATCGCGTCCCTCTCCATGCCTCCGCCCCGCTTCCCCCACTACAGCTGCGTAGTAATTGTAGCGTGTGCAAAGGTCACGTGACATTATTTACTTCTGCATCTTGTTCGGCTGACAAGAGATGGCACTAGTGGTCTGTGGATCAGAGGCGGGGCTAGGTTCTACGACTTCTTGGGGCACACTTTTGGGCAGAAAAGAGGTTTTTTTTGGCTCCCCATTCCAAAATGCTTCGAATATACAAAAACAAGTAAGATATTCGAAAATCGGAGGACCAAACGGATTGTTTGACGTATCTTGCGCGACTGAGAATTGATCGGTCTTCAAACTACTGAACAAAAACGAGGTGATTAGTAGCAAGTGCTGGTGACTGTACTAGGTAGGTAGATACTCATTTGTAAACAGAGCGTTCCACCAACCCTCGCCAGAAATTCAATCAGCAGTTGCTTATCTTAAAACGTTTCAGTGCACTAACAATCTTTAAAAATGACGTCCTCCCTTTCAATGGTTCGTTCGAAGACACAAAGCCAGAATCAGCCAAGCAATATCGGAATCCATTGCGAGGTGTGTCGACTGTCGGATGTGCCCATCCACATAACATAGCACACACTGCTAAATGCAGGTACGCTCACCTACACATTAGGTATTCGAAGGACTCGATAGCTCATACACATGGAAGAAACACATGAAATGTTGTTAATAGCTGCAGCAGAAGTTTGGCGTCCGATGCCTCTTCGCCAAGTTAAGACCATGCCAATCTCGGCCAGTCTGCCGCCGCGCCGGCACTGGCCGTGGTGTGACGTCATCCGGCCGGCTCGGCGCTGGGTAGTTCCACACTTACTGTGGACGTCAAACCGCGTGGGACGCGACTTTTTCGCAATAACTTTTGAATACGTTGCCTCTCAAGAACGAAACTTCGGCAATGGACGTTTCAGACCCCGGCCTAATTTTTATTACTAAGGGTTTTCAATGTCCGATCAATATTTAGGGCACTTCCCGTTCACTCGTAATGTTAAATTTTGCTCCTGAAACTCTCTCGGTGAGCAGAGGCTACTCCACAAGGGGCGGAGCCATAGTGTGACGTTGGAGCTAAGCTCCGCCTCGGCTGGCCGTTGCCTGAGGCGCTACCTGACCCGAGACCGGTCAGTCGCGGTCCGTAGGGGTTGGTACGCGGTGCTTCCTGCCAACACACCCAGCCGCATGGCGTACGTTATTCATGCTTGCCCTCTAAGGGCTGCAAGAATGTATTTGCAATGCGCCTCTTGTCGGTATTTAACCGTAGAGTACCTACATAGAGTATTCTTTTTAGAATGGACCGAGTGTTGACTGTTCGCACTTCTATCAATGAAATATTTTCTTCGACTCGCTAAGAATGTCACCCAGATAGGAAGACTATACGCGTATGCCAAATATTACGATGATTTAAGAATAACAGAAAATAATTAAATGATTATTTGATAAGTTTGTCAACGTAATTACGTAAATGAGATACATAATAATATAATATATTTGCACAGTCAGGTTAATTTTTTTAATTAAAATTTTAATTTTAGGTTCTTGTAGATATCAAACCGCCAGGAACGTAAGTACACTTCGTGTTATCCTGCCAAGCCCCAATATGCCCCAACTTAAATGTTTCCGTAATGCACCGGTACGCATAGCCGGAGGGGAGCCGGATCCGCCGGAGCCGTCATATTTTGCCCTGAGTGGGAGCCGGAGCCGGAGCCGTATTGCCATTTTACTCGGAGCCGGAGCCGGAGCTGGAGCTGACTCAAATGTTCAAGGCTCTGCATCCCTGCTGCTAAGTCAATAATTCGTATAGTTAATTTGGTAAAGGGCCATACTGAACAATCTCGTTTTTTTTTTCTCGGATTAAAAAACCTGGTAAAAGGCCATACTGAACAATCTCGGTTTCGAGATGTCCGCCCATCTGAGACCCGACGCACACAGCATGCAGAACCGGTTCTGAGTGAGGATCGACCGACAGATGGCAGTCGTGTCTGAGCGGTAGATGGCAGGGAATTCGTAGTTAGTAGGCGGGGCTTCGCGAGCAGCCTGACGATAGCCGCCATCCGGGCTGATATTTCACTTAGCATTACGAGTGAACGGGAAGTGCCCTAAATATTGATCGGACATTGAAAAACCTTAGTAATAAAAATTAGGCCGGGGTCTGAAACGTCCATTGCCGAAGTTTCGTTCTTGAGAGGCAACGTATTCAAAAGTTATTGCGAAAAAGTCGCGTCCCACGCGGTTTGACGTCCACAGTAGGTAACTCGCTGCCCGGAGCAGTACTTTTATCGTATCGGTTGCCGATCGTCGTCCGAATATGTCCAATGCAACTCCGTGGAGTGCCCGGCCGCACTCTGCCGAGTGTGCCGCAAGGAAGGACATCCAGCGGCACTGCTGAGCTGCCGGGCTCTGGCCGTTGGCGGGACGACGGCTGGCGCGCGGGCACCATCCATCCCAAGGATACGGAAATGCAGGAAATGCAGCCTCGGCCGCCGGTTTCCGCGCCCAACTGAGTGAGCTCGCTATGCCCCCATTCCCTTGAGGGGCTGGAGGGAGAAATAACAACAAGAAGTCACCTGGAAGTAGCCGTCGAGAAGAGCTTGCTCTGGTTGATCGAGATGGACGACGAGTCGGACATCTTGGTCGGAGTGGCCACGGCGCGGCTTTTCGCCGACTCCTTGTACCGGGAAGCAATCACACGCCCTTTACGCTTTCCAGCGGTCTTTCCCCTGAAACAGATTTCGGGTTGGTATGTTATAAATGCCTATTGTTCAGTATTTGAGCGCTGAGTGTAGCTAACAAATATAATATCAATAACACAGGACTGAGCAAATGAATGTGATGTTGGATCAGGAAAACAGGTAGGTAATTGGTACCTGCTTCATGTACTGATGTACATGACAAAGGATGAGTTGCCTCAGGACCATGTTAATCAGCTTTATTATCTAGTTGGGCATGCAAGTGGCAAACAGCAGCCTTGAGAGCTCCCACACATATTTATTATTGCATAGTATCATTAGCTAGTTATTCAACTGACAATGTATTGACCAGTTTTTTTATTCTTCTTCTTAGTGCTTATCTACCAGCTTGCCATATTTGTGAAAGTTCTCTCAAAAGTAAAACACTTACTTGATTTCTGGGAGAGATTCTGTGACAATAATTTTTGTGCCTCCATCATTGCTTGTGGCAAGTGGCTTCATGCCCTTCTTTGGACTTCTGGTTTTAGCAGGAGAGTTGCCTGCACCAGCCTCTGACACAGATTCTGTAGCTGTTGGCATCATGTTGTCCATATGTTGGTGTGAGCCTGTGGGTTCTTTGCCTCACTGGCAAAAGTTCCACCTTCAGCAGTCTGCAGCGTTCCCTTTAGTTTTCACCTCCAGCAATGACTGTGGACAGACATAGGTAGTTAGAAAGGCTATAAATGCACAAAGATGACTGCATGACAAATATAATTTCAAAAAATCTAAGTTAACTGCCTGAAACCTTGAAACAAATCAAATGCAAAAAATAGGTAGGTGCCTATACCACTGATTCCAGGGCAATCTTCATTTCAACTTAGAATTTCTTATGAAAATTTCAAATTTGTGTGCACATTGGCATTTCCTCATATGCACATTTCCTTGTATTCCATTAATTCATCAACCTAAAATAAGCTGATCTACCCAACCTAACCTAAAGATGAGGAAATGTGAATTTGAAGGAATGAGTGGATAAAAATTTGCTGACCATTGCCCAAGGGATGACAAAGATTAGTGACAAAATTGAAATGCCAAAAACTTCTCATTTCAAACTATTGGGAAAAATTAACAAAAGCATTTGAATAGAATTTACCAGCTCGACAGGTCGCAGGACTAAACAACTTTTGTTTGTTGCGTTTGTACCTTCCTAAGTTTCGCTCATGAAACCCCATTGATATAAATACCTGGGGATTGTTACCTATGCCGTGCATAAGCTATATTGAAAAAAAATATACCTGTTTCCGCTGTGGTCAGTTTTCAGCCCAATATAATTGAAAGATGGTTGTTTAGCTTCAAGTGTACCGCGCTATTTTTGCGGAAAGGAATAACACGAGAAACCTGTTTAATTTTGATAGTGATCTCTGTCAGTATGAGCAGTTTCCATGGTAACTACTTTGTGAGGAAAGCAAAGTTGAAATTTGTCTTGTTTGAAAAAGTATGAATAAAAGAAAAATTTGTAAATGATAATTATAATTTCAAATAAATCTAACTTGTGACCATTTATTCTGTAGAAACGAAGCTTTTGCCTAAGTAAACATTTAACAACTTATGGGCTTATTTTTGACTGAACATAAACTACAATATTTAAGAGAAATGGCGCAGCTGTTACGATAGATGAAAATTATGAAATATTGGATTTGGATTGGATTTCGATTGTGATTTCCGGGGATAGGTATTTCAATTTTGCGTTGTTAGTGATTAAGAATAACTATAATAATCGCCCTACATGATAATAAGAACGTGCAAAACTGTATATCAAAACTGATATCTAATACTGTGACTTGTAAGTCAATTTTCATGTCAATGTGACATTATCTCATTGTTTTATGTGCCAACGACAATGACAATCACATTGATTTGAGTTTTCTCGAGTTTTGCAAGCAATCAGATTTCTGTGTGCATCATGGATTGAGTGAAATTGTCAGGAACTCAGCTTAATTATTGTGCTTTCTGGTAGCTCCCGTTTGCTTGTTGTTCCGATTTTTTCAACAATTAAATTTTGTTCATTCCCTTCACCTTTGCTGTATTGCCACGTTGATTCAAGCCAGATAAAAACTGTGCAATGCAATGTAGAATATAACTCAATTATGACATGAGCTCTGTCAGTATTCATTTAAATGACTTCCTTAAACCACAGTGAGGTCGTGTATACAAGTTGATTGCCGTGCTAATGTAGTCACTTGAGTCATAGGCGGCGGAACGGGGAGGGCACCGGGGCACCGTGCCCCCCTTTGATTTTGGCAATTTAACATTAGCCCTATGGGCGTTGCATGGAAAGAATGGGACCAAAGGTCGGCAGTGCCCCCCTTTAATGTTCGGTAGCGGTGTTCCGCCGCTACTGACTTGAGTTCCATTTTCAGCCTGGATCTACATAAGTTGAATTAATGTGTATTTTCAGCCAGCTTCTAGACGATGGCGGGGAATCTGGTGCGGGCGGCAGCGGCAGCAGTAGGGGGCCGCAGTCTGGGCCGGCTGGTGCCACAGAACACCGCACTGTTCCTGTGTGACATGCAGGAGAAGTTCCGGCCCAACATCAAACACTTTGCTGAGGTGGTGCAGATTTCCAACCGCCTGCTGCAGGCTGCCTCGGTCCTGGACATCCCGAGCATCGTCACGGAGCAGTACCCTAAAGGTGAAAACTCTTTGAAAAAGTACATCGGTACTTCCAAACCGGTACTTTTTTAACCCACGAGCCGCTGGGGGGGGGGCATAAAGTTGCCCCCCCCCCCTTTACGTTTGGTGTAATATCTCCGAAACCGGATAAGATACGAAGCTGAAACTTGGCATAGCTTCAAATGAATACCTAGCGCATATTTGAGGAAAGTTTGGTGGTTGTAGCATATAAAATGACGTCACAGTGACGTCATAAAGTTTTGTCGTTTTCCAATACGGAGCGTTTCCGATGTCGCTGAGCATGAAACGCGGCGGTAAATGAAGCAAACAGCACCTGTTGTCATTCTGACGCATCTAAGTACACTGTTAACTATATCCTGACCAGTTATCGGTCCTATATTCTCGGTCTCATATGTCGGATATATCGTGAGGAAACTAAGGGACGCCAATCTACGATTGGGCTTCTGACGTCACTGTGACGTCATTTCAAATGGGATCGACACCAAATTTGGACACAACCTTGGCTAGGTATTCAGGAATATGTGTGCAAAGTTTCGTTTCTCTATCTCTTCGCGTTGCGACGATATCGTCGGAAAAGTAAAGGGGGGCAACTATATGCCCCCCCCCCCCAGCGGCTGGCGGGTGGCGCGGAGGCCCAGCGGCCGCCGTTTAACAATGCAATAAAACTTTATTTACTTAGCAGGTAGAGCTATCATTGATGCCTATGTTAACTGTTCAGAAGGATCATGTTATCAAAGCGTCGTATTCCATTTGAAGCCGATTGAGTAGGATCTTGAAAATTAGGCCGTCTGCTGCATCGGTAAGACTGACGATCGTGTCAGTTTTCTAGAATGCTACTCGGCTCGCTGTAAAAATGATAATAATGATAATAAGCTACATCCGAATTGTGAAAGCTCGGCACTAGCACCAGCAAATAACTTATAGGTACAGCCCACCGCTTAAGTAATGTAGGGTTTTACCAATCTCAACTGCTCGGGCGCAGCAAATCCGCCGCCGCCTAGCGGTGACCTTGACCCGCGCCGCCCGGCCGCGGCTCCAAAGCCAAGTCGGCGTGGCCGGCGTGGAATTGGGAGAGCTCGAGCACCCCCAGTCCAGCACAATTCTCCACCCGTGGTGTCGTTGACGTTGGAGCAGATTTTAGTAGGTAAACTTTCATTCACTCAGTGCATAAGAGCGATCATAAGGCGGGCGACACCAACCGTTTGTCAGTTTTGAGCAGTCTACTTACACGTTTTATACCCACCAATCCTGTAAACATGTGCATGATCGAATTGATATTTCAGCCAGACAGCGATGTAGGTGTCGTAAACGGAAGGCACCTTTTACGAATAAATATACGTATTTGTGATGCGGCGCTAAATGCCGACGACTTTAACCATGGTATGCTATGAAAAAATAACGATATTGTTGTTCGTTCTCGGCAGGTCTGGGTCACACTGTCCCGGAATTGGAGGTGGAAAAGTACGGACTGACTCCCATCGCTAAGACTCAGTTTTCCATGTGTGTTCCTGAGGTGGACGAAATGCTCAAGGCAAATAAAAACGTGAGTGTGGGATTACGGTGGAGTTTCCCAATGGTCTTGAGGCTCATCTCATGCATAGGTGATTGCGTGATATCTATTAATGGTGTAGCACATTGCTGTGTTTGACTGTTTGTAGTACTTTTTTTAAAGACACTACGTTGCGATAGTGAACGGCATAAAGTGATTAGTGTCAAGATTGCTTGGCACATGACCGCTTGGAAACGTGTTGCTTGGTCTATTGTAATGCAACCCTAATGCTAGGTTTACCAACAGAAAAATCGACGACTGCCGATATTTTTTATTTAATCGTCTCAATATTCACGCAAAAAAAAAAAATACTTGCCCGCATGACTGGCGAAACCCATAGTGACTAGACGAAAATAACTGCAGCCGGCGAATCTTCTGTTAGTAAAACTGGCCTCTGATTCAGTATTTACCGAAGCGGGTGTAGGTAATATGAGAAAATGAAAGCCGGCGATATATGCAGTGGCGGTCATCCGGCTCGGCAGTTTACACTTGCTCTGACATCCCGCTCGCACCGCCGTCAGATCTCCTCCGTGATCCTGTGTGGGATCGAGACGCACGCGTGCATCCTGCAGACCACCATGGACCTGCTGGAGCGCGACTACGATGTGCACGTGGTGGCGGACGCGTGCGCCTCCCGCAGCCACCTGGACCGGTGAGCAGTGCGCAGTGGTGGGCAATAGGCATGGCTGTTAAACCCGCGACGCGCCGATCCACCGGCATTATTGGGTTATTTTCCATTATAATTATAGACAAGACACGTTGTTTCTGTTGTTTTATGTAAGGGACGGCCTATCTCACAACTTACCCTGTCCACCATTACCATTGCTACTGATTCACCCCATTGAAGCTGTTCGCTGATGATGGAAAATGACGACGCATTATGTTGTCAAACTTTGGCTGACATATTGTACGTAGGTGATGCGGAATTATCGAACGCAGATGGTCGGAAGTCATTCGACGACTCCTATCAACCTTTCCACGTATTCTGGAACTATTTTATTTCATTACTTTTGTTATAATGTGACTGATCACGCTTGCTATAATACGCTAAGTGAAATAAACCATGTCGTAATTTTCCGATTGTGTAAATGTAAAATGAGTATGCCTTAGCTCAGAATTCCTGGCAAGGTATAATAGTTGATGGTTATTTTCATACGTCACTAAACCGACTGAAATTTCTGCGTAAATTGTAGTGTTTTGGACTGCTGCCCCTCCTCGATCCCACGGCGCTTGACCAGTCGCTCCGGTGACTATAACCTGGCTTTCTCCCCGCGGCCGAACTGGCTGCGCCACGTGCGAGTGGACTGCACCGCGGTATGGGCCTGGCGTGACTCTGCGCCACTCCACCAGGGTGTACGCGCTGGAGCGCGTGAGGCGACTGGGCGGCTTCGTCACCACCAGCGAGTGCGCCATCCTCAGCCTGGCGCCCAACTCGGCGCACCCCAAGTTCCGTCAGCTACAGAAGATCATCTGGACGCCGGCGCCCGACTCTGGCCTGCTGCCGACCCCGCCGTGAAAGGTGACCCCCGCACCGTGAACCCGTACCGAGGCCCCCGACTTTTTGCTGAGTGACAAGGTTTCGTAGTTTATTTTTGTATCAGGACCATGTGGCGTTTGTTAGTCCACCAGTGACTGGTGCCGGCTGCCGCGGTGGTAGGTGATAGGAGGGGGGGGGGGGAGCAGTGCCACTCAGCCCGTTCCTTCCCACTGCGTTCGCGCCCACCTTGAGTGTATTGACGCATAGATATAGGACAATGGCCGGGGCGTCCGCTGGCGTGCCGGCGCCTCGTCATCGACGGGAAATGGGATCGCTACGGCGGCGGCCGACGTCTATATATCCGCCCGTTTGCCGGCCGGCGGTCACGATCGGACCCTGCCGCACTGACGGGGCTAGGCTACACCATAGACCTCTGTGTATCGGTATTCTCTACCAGAGGTCATTGGTCTAGCTGACCTGACCTGGTACAGAACTTAGTCCATATTTTGACGGATTGCTGTCATTTAAGAGTTGTATCCGCTTACCGTTCTAAAAGCGGATCCCTTCACGGCGATCCGCTCTTCTATTAGCCTAACCGACAGCGCTGTGAAAATGCGACCGTCATGACGCGAGGCCCTGGACGGCCAGACGTAGCTCTGGGCGCTGGGACGGTGGGCCGGTGCGGTCTAGTGTTTGGAGCATCCCGGATAAACGGCGACGGAACTGGCAGCAGCTGAGTGTGCTAGCGATACGGGGCCCCACTGCCACATTGCTCAGTGTATAGTGATTACTCGGAGGTGGTCGGCGCGAGTTTGACCTAGAGGTAGCCACACTGGCCAGCCGAGCTTGGCGTGAGACGCAAACTAACGGATAGTTTGTATATAGTATATACTCGTGCAATATAGGGGACGTGGGCTGATGTGCCAATATGAGGGTGTGTGGTATGGGAAAGGGAAATGCACAGTTGCAAGTCGCAACTGAATAAACATATTTCGAAGCAAACTTGTATTTCATATCCAATTTAATGTTTTGAGCTTCATATAAGCGGCATGCGCAAAAGCAAATTTAGGTACAGGTTTTCCCAAAAAAGTTTACCCACGAAAATTTCAATAAAACCTTCACCTCACGCTCAATTTATTTCATTTTCACACAGTGTTATCTCAAGACAGTGAGAAGTAAATAGCGTAATTTGGAGCGAAGTTGGTTTCATTTTTGTCCTGTCATGTGCACTTCAAGAAAATGACTAGAACACGCTTAAACTAGCCACGGTGGTGCTGAAAATGACTGGATTTTGCGCTAAAACCTATAATTTTTTTAACGGGCCACGTTTGCTGCTAAACAGAACCGATTCGCATGAAATTTGGTTCACTTCTCATCGCATTGCTAAAGCATCGTACAAATTTCAGGCGAGTTGTATAAAAATAACAATTTCATCATTCTTTGGGTAAACTTTTTCGGGGCATCCTGTATATGATGAGAATACGAAAATTGGCTAGTGGAACAGGTAAGATTTGAGTTGACAGAAAAGTGAACAATATAACACACGAGGTCTCGGCAAATGCAAGCCATCGCGCTGAGGACACAGCGAGTTTGCCCCAATATCGGTCCCAGGTATATTTTCCCCAGCTAGTGAACTGCCCGACGATGCATCCCTCTGAGCGGATGTTAGCCACTCACCAACCCTTTACTACCGGAACGGAGCGATGGATCTCGACGTGTTTTTGCATGGAGAACCGCGCTGCGGTTACGAACTCAGACACAGGATATGGCAACGGCCCTTTATTGGCGCCTCGAAATACAGCGCATCTGTGCAGAGGACGGGCCCGGTAGGTGGCTCTCAACTCCTAAAGCTGGCTTCACACACAACAAGACTGCATGTCTGTCCGCGGTTAAAATATCTACCGTTCCGCACACAATCTGCACCATCGATCAGGTAATGACTCACAAAAATAACACTCTGTTGAGACATGCATAAGAAGTTCAGTGGCATACATAATGTGTCTCCGTCGCATGGTCCTATCGACCGGCAGGCGCGCCGGCCGCTCGCGGGAACGGCAATACCAGAGGCCCGACTATATGAATTATGAATCTATGACTCCCTAGTCAATGGAGAGTCCACCACGAAACGCGGCTAGAAGGCTATCCAGAATATATCACAGGACAAATGTCGACAGGGTCGCAGATTCGGACCATTTCTTACACACATCTACAAGTAACAATAACAGAGCATTTTCACTAACTGTCAAATCGAGGCAGTTATGAAGAAACTAGCAACCATTTCATTGCAGCAGCAATGCGTAGTAAATAGCGTGGCGGGACGCCAGTGAAATAGACGTTCATTCCCTCAAAATGCCTCTTGTCACCTCATAGGCGCTGGACTGGAGCGGACGGCAAAACTGGACGGAACTGGACGTTACTTGAGAAGACTGGACGGCAGTCTCTAACTGGAGTGGATGAAGAGCTAGAGGCTGGGACTGAACTAGACTTGATCGCTGCTTTGGACCGGACTGACAGCAGCACTGGACTGGACTGGATTGCACTGGACGGCAGTAACTGGTAACGCCCCGGTGAGCTCACCCTGGCCGTCCCACCTGCCGAGACTGGTCACCGCCGGTGTGTGGCGGCGCGGCGCCATTGTCACCACGTAAAGAGGATCGCCGTGCCGCTCCCCCGGCGCCGGTGCGGGGGCCGGGCGGAGTGCGTGTCACCGTTCTGACGGTCATCGACCCGCCCCCGCCCCCGCACCCGCACCCGCCCATCTGCCTGACGACACGGGGCTTTCCAACCCGACCTCAATGTTGAATGCGCTCTCAGCCGGCTTATGGTGAGCGGGTCAATCCTCTGATTCGTGTCGTCGATCCGCTCCACTGTCCAGAGTTCTAACTGTTCTAATTGCTGCTCGGTAGCTCGGGTCACGGCAGACCTGTCTGCCCGCCGACCGCCGCGCCTCAGCATCCCGCCGGTCCTCAGGAGCTGCTGACGAACGGGCTCTTGGTGTGCCAGGCCACCTTGGCCTCGCCCCGGTCTGCGCCGTGCACAGGCGCCACCTCCACGCGGCGCGGTGTCAGCGAGCGCGAGCCCTTGCGCAGCTGGTCGGTGATGGTCGTTCCCACCGTCGTGAAGAAAGCAGAAAAGCGCAACTGGAACACAGAGGACGGAGCGGCGTCAGGGGGCGAGTGCGTGCGCCGGCGGTGAAGAGAAACGGGAAAAGAACCCATCAATGGTGATGGTGGTACAGGGCATCCTTGGCCACTGTCTTTCCATTCAAGGACTTCCACTGGGTGTAGCTGCTTGATCCAGCAAACAGCAAGTTGTATGCGCAATGCGCATATTATGCAATGTCAATTATCTCGAACCAGGGATCCTGGTAGTCGGAAGGCAGCGCCTTGCCGGCATTGTTTTGGAGAAGAAATAACTAATAGCACGCACAGTCGCACAACTTCAGAGGAAGTTGTGTTTGTATCCAAATCTTACATGCCACGATGTTATTACACATGTGTCGGTGGCGGCCTGCAAGACAACTTATCATCATTATCAAGGTTCATTTCCATGTCGACAGGCAATTAATTTCGTTATGTCTTCCACTTTACCTATTCCCGCGGTCCACGCAGTATAATTAGTCCCCAGCGGCGTTGCCACGTCAACAAAACTAGCGCCACCGCAGCAGCCTATTACCATGATGATCCGATAATTGTCCTCGCCATAACACAAATTAAAATGGATCTCAATCGAACAGTTTATAGATTGACACTGTCGACTGTGGGTCGGCTCTTTATTTGGCGGAGCGGTATCGAGCGCCGTCATTTCCCTCGGCACATGCACGGCTGCCGGGCCCGAAATAGCGGCACGGATGGCCGCAGAGGATCGACTGGGGGGCCGCCACGCACCCGCCGCCTGCCGCAGCCCGGACCTCACCTTGACAATGTTGATGCACATGGAGGTGAGCGCCAGCCCGAAGACGAAGTACGCCATCGACGCGGCCATCGTGGCCGAATCCTGCAATGGAAGGCAGTCGGAGTGTCAGTCAACTGGCGTGGCTTTGAGTGGCGGTCTGCAGGCCAGGCCGGCTATTAGTAAAGTGATCATGGGGGCACTCTAATGCCGGGGCGGCGGTCCTCGTCGCAGCGCTGGTGACGCCGGTGACGTCAGCGACATAAAAGGTGATAAGTGGCCACCGAACGATGTGTCAGTGTGGATGGTGGGTCAACCGACCGCCGGCTCTGGCCTCTGAGCCAATGAACGGTGTGTGGGCCCGCTGCCCCCCCCCCCCCCCCCCCCCCAGCTCCAGGCCTCTGAACGGTCGTCAATGTGGGCCCACTTGATTGCTAAACCCCGATACGCAAACAAAATGTGGGCCCCCCGACCGCGAACCCTGCCTCCAAACGGTGCCTAGCCTGCCGCTCCGGCCTGCCAGTCCGTGCTCCACTGCTGATAGGAAGCACAACTGAGGCCGTACCTACCGACAAACAAGGCTATCGCCCGCCAGTGGCCGGAGGCAGGCACGCACAATGATAATAACCCTAGCTGCTACACAACGGACACTGATTGTTATATTACGTGCCGCACAAATACCTACCCGACGCCAACTGGCGACGACATTACGCCGCTCTTCGACTGTGGAGACACCCTGCTTTTTTGACAACAGATGATCTCATAACAAAAAGACCCAGTTAATAATCAAATAATGAACGGTTCAACTGCCCAGTAAAAGGATTGTGGAATGTTACCAACTGCGAGACGACGAATTCCACTATGTGTAATAGGTACAGGGAATCTGTTAAAAGGTCTGAGTGGGCCAACTGGAAAATAAACCAGGAAAGTTTTACGACTGCGCGCTTTGGAAGTGGCTCGTTTGGTATTCGCTGGGCGGGAGGGGGTGGGGAATACCAGAGGTTAACGTCAGGGGCGGCCTAACAGTGGTCAGTGGTCACGGCCACGGGGAGGTTGGCTAGCATAGGTCACCCGTCAGGGGAAGGAGGGGAAGCAGCGGTCAACGTCATTAGGTGGGGTATCAGAGGTCAACGTCAAGGGGAGGAATACAAGCGGTCAATGTCAGGAGGGGAGGGATAGCAGCGGTCACTGGTCACCGCCAGGGGGAAGCAGGGGAAGCAGCGCTCAACGTCAGGGGAGAGATGGGAAGCAGAGGTCACCGTTAGGGGAAGGGAGGGAAGCAGCGCTCGACATCAGGAAGGGGAGAAGTAGCAGCAGTCATCGTCAATCGCCAGTGACCGTGGGGTGAACCAGCGTTGGGCTGAGGGCTTCAGCGGCCAGGCGCAGGGAAACACGGGGTCAGCAGTCCGGAAACATACGGTCGCGATTGCCCGGCCCGTGACTGCGTGCATAGATTGGTTTAGCTCGGTAGTGGTGGTGCCGGACACTCGGGGTCTGCAAATAACCTCACCACCGGGCGAAATTGAGGCCGACTACCCCGCCGCCTTTGTTCCGCCCGAAACTGGAACTGGGCCCATGAATTACAGGTCTTTGTTTGCAGGCGAATGTGCAGCACGTCAGCACGCGGCATGCAGATCTATTTTAAAATGCACATCAACTTTGTGGCACACATGATAAAGCTGGGCACTTTTTCAGCGACTTAAGTGGCACACACCGCCCGTGATACATTACATTTAATACATTATGCATTATAAAGTAATAATATATATAAACTTATTTTAATGGCCTAAATCTCAACAAGACCCAAGACCCTAGATTAATAAATAGATTATATTGTACTTAATTGTATTTTCAGTGTCTTTCATTGCATGTTACATAACTGATGGCTCATTTCAAATTATTCGCGTTATTATCATGTGGAAACGCGTGAATGAGTGAATGTTATCATTGACGGGCGCATAGAGGCGTGTGACGCACTGAGGGTCGCATTGTTCCTTTGATATGTCCGCCAACAGCGAGGAGGTCCGGGAGCCAGTCACGCCTGTGGGCTGCTCAAAGGATCCGTGCGGCACTCGAGGCGAGCGGACTCTGTTGATCCGGCAATGATAAAGGCGGCCAGTGGCCACTGTGTGAATTGGTTGATGTCCATATCGGGAGATACAAACACGGTATACATTATCACGTCACCTTTACCAACACCTCGATGGAGGACGAGTGTTTGAACACTCAGCAAATGGATCACTCCCTCCCCTCTGGGTTTCCCGAAATGTTACGTGTTTAATGCTTACTCATATGTGCAACGTTTGCCACAGCTCGCATAAGCCCGTCTCACCCAGACCCAGGATTACTTTACCACCAAAGGCACTAGTTTTACACAGGCCGAGCAAAGTGACTGATTGCGTTGGAACCGGAAGAATTCGTATGGAACATGAGGATGTCTGAAGTGCCAAGTATATGAGTACTCACCGAGATAACATAGTCTCCAAATCCAATAGTAAACATGGAGATAACGACAAAATAGAGTGATTCAAAGTAGTTCCAATCTTCTATTTGCTGGAATATTGCTGCTCCCATTAGAAGGTAACTGAAAACAAGCGCATTATGGTTAGTTGTGCGCACAGTGGATATAGTTGCATAAAGAAATGTTTGGCAGGAAAAAGGTGACAATAACCGGTCATCTGTGAAAGCTGCTCCGTTTCATGTTCGTTTATGCCTACATGTTTTGTGTTTTGAAATTATTGTTATCGGGCATGGATCTTATCGTTCGGTGCTTAGTCCATAGGCACTTTTGGGGAACATTATACCCACTTTACTAAAAGATATGTCTTTGATAGATGATGTTAAGTTGGAATTATTCACTGGAGCAGTTTTATCAGTGGAACTTTTTCTGAACTATAGCTAAAAATATTCATCATTCGATTGGATACGTCATGGGATCATGTTGATGAATTATGTATTAATTTTATAATGATTGGTTTGGATAATACCCACTTACCACAGCGCTAATGACAAGGCCACCATTATTGGAAGGTCAAACTGCTCGTCCACCACGTAACTAGGACTGCTGGCTCGAATCTGAAAATATGAGAAAAAAATAATAAGTGACTTCCACAATCAAATTATTATATGATAAAAAACAACAACACTACTTAAACGTTTGTTTTAGTAGCTAATTTGCGGTCACAAACATGGGATCTCGACACCACCGACGATCGGTCGTCACGAGAGATGACGCCGACGATGACCTTCCCGTGCCGGGAAGGCCGGGAAGGGGTGGCGCGGCGCCAGCGGTGACCTCCCAGCTGTATGGAGGCGGGCCGACCCCGGCTCACGCTCGTTTATAATGCAACTGAAATGAGGTCCGGCGGCGGCCTGCCCCCAAATGAGCAGCCGGCTAGTGCCCACGGCTGGAACGTGCTGGGTCTCAGCGCGGTTCCGCCGCCGACCCCACAAGTTCCGCGACTCCCGGCAACCCGACCATCACAGGCCGGCCCGGCGACCCGACCGGTGACCCTACAACCACAGCTCGTCCCGGCAACCCAGCAGCACACCGCGTGATCACCGCTGCACCGCCTATTATTAGTTTCCTGACGGTCTCCACTTGGCTAATGAGCCATGCATTTGTAAAGCACCGCTCTGCTGAATAAGCCACTGGCATGCGATTTCTTTTCACATAAAACGACAGGACGCTTATGTTGGTCCACATAAACGTCACAGAAGCACTACAAATGCTGCTCGGAACACATTCCCACTGGCGGCTTTACCCAAACATCTAATTCGAGAAATGCGGCTGGCGTCAGCAAATGAAATGTGTTGCCCGGTCTTTACCTCACCCTGGATACGGCTGCATACACAAATCAAACGATGTACCAAACCAATACAATTCTGATCGATCGTCATGTCGCATGCAATGCAAACATCTCTCTCTCTCTCTCTCTCTCTCTCTCTCTCTCTCTCTCTCTCTCTCTCTCTCTCTCTCTCTCTCTCTCTCTCTCTCTCTCTCTCTCTCTCTCTCTCTCTCTCTCTCTCTCTCTCTCTCTCTCTCTCTCTCCCTCCCCTCTTTCTTTGCCTCTCCCACCTCTTTCTTTGCCTCTCCCACCTCTTTCTTTGCCTCTCCCCCCTCTTTCTTTGCCTCTCCCTCCTGCGTTCTCTCTCTCCCTCTCCCTCCTGCGTTCTCTCTCTCCCTCTCCCTCCCTCCCTCTCCCTCCCTCCCCTCCTTTTCTCTCTCCTTCCTTCCTAACACACACACACCCGGACGGCGGCAGAGACGGCCTGCAGCGAGCGGTTCGGCGAGCGAAGCGTGTCGGCCAGCCGGCTCAGAACGGCCCACATCAGCTTCAGCGAGCGCGTCAGCAGCTTGCCCGAGTCGGAGAGCAGCACCAGGAACAGTGGTGCGCCTATCAGCGCGTACAGCATGGTGATGGCGCGGCCGACCGTGGTGGCCGGCACCATGTGCCCGTAACCTGCCAGACAGGCACGAGCAGTCAGTGGTGTCGGCATGGGGAGACGTCGGAGCAGCGACAGGAAGCACAGTGAAACGTCAGACGCAGGATGCTTTCAGAAGGGAGGAGACCACAGCGCCGTGAGAAGTCGCCGAATCATTGCTGCCAGATGTTACCGACGTTACCATGTTACACTGTGAGACATCAGAAGTCAGCAGTTGGAGCAGCGTCAGATCAAGACGTCACCTCCGTGAGCCACCAACGTCAAACATTAGACAGCAAGCGTCACCACACTGTCAGAAATCGACCCTGGCCGTCTCTAGACCGTTAGATTTCAGAAGACATTGGATGCTTAACCTTCGCAGGCCGAGAGGAGGCAGGTGCCCCCACACCTGCCTCCTCTCAGTCTTGAAGCTGTTCGAATGAGATGATCTCCCATATCATTCTATTCGGCAGGTCTTCCTGAGTCAGAGCTGCTTTCCTGTCCCGCGAGCTCAATTTGATCGATAATTATTGACGAACTCCGGATGAGATGACCTCGCATTGCCCCACGACTTTGACAGCTCCCATCCCGTGACGATTTTCGTTGCTTTCTCACAGTTCCTCGGGACGTGATTGCAATGGAAAGCTGAAAGCTGACAAACCTAACCTTCAATTATTCCCGGGCAATGGACGTGGCATTGCCGCTGCCTGACCGCTTGGAAGAGCGTGAGAGTTCCGGCTAGCACCTTGGTCCACCGGATGTGGTGCTCCATCGCCCTGGCAGGGGGGTCGATGCGACCCCCCTAAGGTTTTTCGAAGATAGCGTAAACACGGCGCCGCCAAATTTGGCACAGCTTCTAGGGCAACCTTTTTACATATGACCTGAAAATTTCAGGTCCCGGTGACCTTGGGTCAGGTCACCAGGTCAGAAAAACGGTACAAGGTCATGGTCAAATTTCAATTTTCTTTTTGCACTTGTCCAACTCACAGTTTTGGACTGATTTCCTTCAAACTTTCAGGATGTGCTAAGTTCACCGAGTTGTATAACATATAGTTCGGGTTTTTTGAGGTCACTGACCTGAGATCAGTTAGAGGTCATTACGTCGTAATGTTAAGCCTATGGGAAAATACTAAATTCGGAAAATACTGGAGATATCCGCTTCGTTCTGTCACTTTTGTGCTTTGAAACCACAGTACTTAACAGCAGGTCACTTGGTGCTTCTTTGTTTGGTGTACTTATCCATGGCTCATGGGTCAGGTCAAATGAGGTCAACTGAGGTCAAATGACGTTTTTGCCAATAACTTGGCACACAATGACGCTAGAGCTTAAAAAAATGGTATCATTGTGTTCCTGGTGATCAGCCAAATCGAATGATATGCGATATGATGCAATTTAGTCAACTTGAACTTAATTAATTAATTAAAGTTTACTTAAAATTTAAGAAAAACTTTAAGTACACTTAAGCAAGCTAAAAAGAACATCATTCGACGCGCCTTGACGTGCTGAGTTCACTGGTGCTTTTCTTTTTGCTCTATCTTAATTAGATCAAAAGTTATAAGTGAAAAACTTTTGACCTGTTTTTAGCGAAATTTTTGCATTTATACCCCCAAAACCCCCCTAAATATTGACCTAGAGCAACCAAATTTGCACAGGGGCGAGAACTCCAGGGGGCCCACCTACCTACCAAATTTGGTGTTACTAGGTGCCATAGGAGCCAATCGCGAGGGGGGTTGCATCGACCCCCCCCCCCTGCCAGGCCGTGTTATGAAAAATGCCTTGCCAGGGCGAGGGTTAACCCAAGCTAACCATTCAAGCCGGACCTATAGGCCCGGGCCTATAGTCATTATAGTGACCTCGACCACATTTTCAGGTTCAAGTCAGGTCACTGACCTATGACGTCATGCACGGTTAATAAATATCACAATTTTGCAACACCCTCGGTGCCAATAAATTTTCGGCAGCTAAAAATTATAAGGAAGAAGTCCCTCACAACTTGATATCTCAGATTTTTCCTACCTAACAGTTGCTTGAGGTCAGGTCGTATACGCAACCATACTATTATAAATCAATCGATAAATCATGAACCTGCTATTTTGGCGATTGAAATGATTAAAACCATCACAAGCACCTGGAATCGTGAGATAATACACTCCTTCTAGGGTCCAATGCTGATTTTTCATTGAGGAGCGTGCATGACGTCACTTGAGGTCATACGGAGTTTTTCGTTAATGCCTCTCGATCATATTAGCTAGCTATCTTAGGCTATCATTGGACACAGCTAGACCTGCTCAATCGAATGTAATGCAATAAGGCCTCCTTTGACCACCTTGTGCTATTAGCGGCTTTGACCTGACCTTAACCTGAGGTGCTTAATCCACCCTAAGTTGACCTCACCCAAACAAAACAAAAAAAAAGGATCATGACGAACACAATGGTGCTTAAAATCGCGGCTCGCGACCATTTTTTTTTCTATTCAACAAACAAGACCTCGCTACGCTACCATTGGGTCTCAGAAGTGAGTCAGAGGTCACTGGTTCAGACTGGTGCTGGATTCACCCGTGATTGAATCGATTGGATTGAATCAAACAAAATTTGTTGAATCAAAAAGATTTGATTCACCATCTTGTTCGATTCACAAGCAACTATTGAATCAAACGAATTTGGAATCCTAGGGTTGATTGAATCAAACAAATTAACTAGGTATTCATAGAGAAGTGACAGTCTGTGCATGAACTTAAGAAATTGAAGTGGGCATAGTTCATTATCAACAAATGTTAAAGGGACCCTCCCACCTTCAAAAAAGTTTATGAATTGGCATGAAAGTGATGTCGCTCGGTTCAGAAAGAGCGAAAACGAATATCTACCAAATTTCACCGAAAAATATTCACCGGTTTTCAAGATATTAGACTTTTACTTTTGTTTACTTTTTTGGGATCTCCGCTGTTTCTAGCGACTTTATTTTAGAAGTGCGGCGTTTGCGGCAGATGTTGCGCGCAAATAGCATATACCATCGCGTGCTACAAAACGTTTTAGTCAAACATTTAAAAATCGTTAGATATTTGCGCTGACGTCACACATTCAGAGGGGTATTCCTAAGCATTAGCCCCTCTGAATCAAAATGCTGCAATTTTGAAATTCAATATTTCCGATTTAAGGCATTTCTCGATGTTGTGAGTGCCGAAACCGGTAATTGTGAGCCAGGGACCCCATTTTGGCTATCTCAACTTAAATCTAATGTTAAGGTGGGAGGGTCCCTTTAACAGTGACTAACACTACCACCATGTCATGATAATTGCATGACAGCAAAAAGAACACAACATATACCTACAATAATATCCCTGATATTTTTCATATTTTATATTTTTCAATCGAATCGAAAAGAATCGTTCTGTAACTTCTTGGCTGAATCAAACGTGAATAATTCCTTTTTTTGTTTTTTGATTCTCTGAATCAAAAGGAATCGATTCACTAATGTTTTTTAAGGAATCGGACAGCAGGACCTAGTATCCTTCAGAGTTATCACAACCTCTATCTATATCTCGGAGTTTTTCAGAGAGGTCATATGAGGTCAGGTCGGTCACCGTGACTTCACCATTACCTACCCATAAGTCAATTGGGAAATGCGGAAAATGCATGCTATTTTAGCGCCGGGAATGATGTAAATTTTTGGTGAAGTTATTTACCAAAAAACAAACCCGTGCTTTGGGGCACTTGACCTAACCTCAGAAGTCACCACCGGTTGACAGGAGACCTTAAAATTTGGTACCAATCCCTACCAATCAATTACTACCAATCAATCGTTACGATTGGGTACCAATCGTAACGGCGCACACGCTGTTTCGCGAGACTCTAGCTCAATTAGGGGCGAAACGGCGAAGGGGGTCGTAACGACCCCCCTTTCGGCAGGGTTGTATGTAGAAAACCAATAGGTCCGGCCCCTCGCCGGACCTATCGGTTTATTTCTGAACAAACCACGGCCTCCGCGGAAGAAACCACCGTTTGATTTTTAAAGCCTAAGATCACCATGTGACCTCTAAGTCAAGTGCTCTAAAGACGGGGTCAGTTTTTTTGTGAATAACTTTGCCAGAAATAGTCATAAAGCCGCGACTTTGGCACCATCGTGTTTGCCATGCTCGGGCGCATCTTGCTGTGATGAAGTAAGCTTTGGATGTTGACTCCAGGTTAAGGTAATGTCAAAACCACTTAAGTCACTCAGTTGGTCGAATGAGATCATGTTGCATATTATTCGGTTCGGGAGGTCTTTCTGAGTTCATTGTTGGTTCATGGAGAATTCCGAAGAGCTTTGGAACGTCATATGTGATGTCACTCAAGGTCAACATGGCATTTCCCGGCATTATATCTCAGAAACTAATTGATATACGATAAAGCCATTTTAGAGGATAATAGCAGGCATGTGTGCGAATAAATCGATCGCATTTTCAACCCTTAAAAGCTTATAACGAAGAAGATCTAGCCGGAAATTTACTTAATTTTATAGGGGCAAAACCTGCCGTTAAAAGCTGCGATACCTGTACCTGACCGCAGGTGACCTTTATGAGTAACCTGAGACATATGTAGAGTTGTGACTTGCGAGTGCTAGAGAGGTCTCTACGGTCATATTAGTTTCATCTAATTGCAAAAGATGCTCTGGTACTTCTGGCTCTGAGGGTTTTGCAAAGTTGAAACATTGGTGCCGTTAGGACCTTTACTTATGACGTTAGGTCAGTGACCTGACCTGGAAATTTGGTTAGGGTCAGAACATACAGCTTGAATCACATGTCAGGTATGCCAATTTCAGCTATTGCATACGCGTTTCAAGTAATCGCAAAGAAAGTCTTCAAGGTGGTGGCCCTCTCTCCCCACCCTCCATCCCAAAAAGAGAATTCAATTGCTTTAGCTTTTAAGGTGACCAAATGATTAATACACTGAAAGCAATGCTAGTTCGTGCCTTTTTGTAGCTCCTCTAGGTTGAAATGTAGGTATGTAAATTGGCGTGCGTTGCATTTTACAAGAAATTTTAACAATGGGTAAATTATGTAGGTAAGTTGCCTAATACTTATGCTACAAACCACTTTTCATTAACACGGCCCTAATAGCCGAATGTGATTTCCGAAACGTTAACACGTGGACGTGATTTATGAATAGATCGTTGTGAATGAATAGTTATTATTCCTTCCATGATGGTTATCACTGCCATAATTTGCTTTATTAAATACGAATGATATGATTTATCATCTACCACCAGGTGCCATCATTTATGTAGTTATCATCGAACACTGCTGCTGACGTATATTCTTACCTAGATAACTACCACTTACTGCACAATTCCTCAGTATTCGATCGTTTATTATTTCTGAATTAACCATATAATTCAATAAACAGAATTAACCGTCGAGGTAAGGCTCGGCTCCTGGATAGACAGGCCCCATGCACTGTGTACCTGGTGGAGAGACTTCCGAACTCTGAACGCGCACTCTAATTCGGCTGGGCCACGTAGTGATCGTAGACACAAGCTAATCTTCTCGAAGTTTGCTATTTCGTTAGAAATTGATGCATTTTTTGTGAACCTACAGTGTGGTGAAAAGAATAATCGATAGATGAAGCACTTTTGCTTATATGGTTAGATTTTGAGGGTCGTAACCAATATGTTAAACTCTGCTGGCTAAACGGCTAGAATTGATGAGGAATGGTTTTTGCCTTATTTTCCATACCTCAAGGGCCTTGTTGTGTCATGTGGCAGTGTGCGAGTTGCTGCGTCAAATTTTTCTAACTCTTCCCACTGCCTAGGTCAACAAGGTCCCATATTTCCTAGCGGGTTGAAGGGAAAGTTACTACGATCTATGGGTTACTGATTGATGTGTTTTTGATCGCAAATTTTCCTATTTGTACATATATTCAAGAACTGTTGTGCAAATGTTCTTTCGATCTGACCCGTAAAGGACATGGTCATGGCGTGACCTATAGGTGTCGAAGTGATAATGGCAAAGTAGCTCCAGGTCCTGGCGAGTCGTTTGGTGTCGGTATGGTGCACTCTTCACTGGGTGGGCCGCAATCTGCTATGCGATGTTGGGATCGTGACCTAGGCATGACGCGAGGCATGAATGGTTCGGGTCACCTATTCCTCCATTCCGGCTGTGTTGTTTTCAAGTTTCAAGTGGATCCGATGCGTCTCAAACCTGGGTGGAATACGGGCCGAAAAAGGGGTTTATTGACCGACATACGTGATACTGACGTTTACTTTTTGGGTAAAATAGGGAAAAATAAATTTGGAAAATATTTGGCGGCGTTCAAACATTCTTCCTAGCGGTTCTGATTCAATGGCAAAGTATCAAACATATGTCAAAATAGAAATTACAGCAAAAACTAAAAAATCGCTCTCGGCCGCACCGTCTCCTCTACCACCTACAAGATCTCTGCATGAGTGTACCTATACGCATAGTGCACCTGACAGCGTCGTTAGAACATTTAAGTCATGACTCATGGGCCTTACCTATAGTGGTGATGATGGTGCCGCTGTAGAACCAGCCCGACCAAAAGTCCCACTGTGGACTGGTACGGTAAAAGCCCCGTTTCACCATGGCTACTAGGTCCGTCTCGAACTGCACCACGCGCTCTGTGACGTGCGCGTTGAGCGCGCCGCGCAGCTGTCCGAGCAGCCTGCCGCACTCGGATGACACCGGCTCGCCCTCCTCGGACGCGTTGTGGCACGACAAGTTGGCGAGCAGCTGCTCCATGATATCGTCCACTACGCCCTGGCGCAGCGCCGCCGAGCGCTCAACACTCTCGCGGTCCAGCGGGCCCTCAATCGCCTGGAACATGAACGAGCCCAGCACGCAGTAGGCGAAGATGATGCCGAACAGGATGGTGGTGGTGACCCAGCGGCGCGACAGGCCCGTGGCGCCCGTCAGCAGCCAGCGCTCCTGCTGCGCGGCGGCCGCCTTCTCCGCTCCGGCCGAGAGCGGCGCGCCGCGGCTGGGCGGCGGCCGGCCGCGCTCGCCGCGCTCCTGGTCGCGGTGCTGGCCATCGGCCGCCGCCGGCTGGCCGGCCGCGTCCAGTCCGGCGGCGGGCGGCGGATCGACACGCAGCAGCTCACTGACCACGGTCACACGCACGCCGTCGGCGTACATGGGCCCGCTCCGGCCGGCGGCGTGACGGCGACTCGAGTGGAGTGACCGCCGCCGCCGCCGCCGCCGACGGAGGCGACCGCAATGAGACCCGCCACCGACTCCGGCACGGCGAGCGCTGCGGCGGGGCCATCGACCGGCATCACGGCGGACGTCACCTCAGCCCTACTTCCCAAACGGACAATGCGGCCGAGGAATGGATAGAAATGGCAAATTGATCGACATTGGTCTTCAATCAAGGGCAAAGCAAGGGTGCATCTTATCTGATAAATTACCTACTTCTTTGGGAATTCTGGTAACGTGACCTTAAACTTCAACCGTCTAAATTATCAAAAAAAAAAAATTGGACATTGTACACTGACTGACGGCTCACAAGCTATCGAAAGGCATTGATGCTTGCGGTTGCGTCCTAAGAGACGAGTTAGTCTAGGCACGCGTGTGGGGGGGGGGGGGGGCGTGGGAGTTACACTAAGCGTCGCCTGATTGACGTGGATCATGATGCGTCCATGTGCAGCCATCCATGCGCGCTGCGGTCCATTTTTTTTTTAATGGCCTCCGATTCCATCATGTGATCATACGGGCCTTTGCGGACGCTGTTGATTGATGCAGTTTAATTAAACCGCGCATGACTGGGGTATTTTCCATAACGCGGCTGACTGGGGGGGGGGGGGCTCTACAGAGCCCACCTCCTATCTCCGAAACCACTGGGCCGATCGTCAAAATTCAAGCGACGTCTGATAGCCCTGGGAAAACTGTTGAACGAACTTTAATTCTATTGACCTCGAGGTCATCGATGACGTCACAGGTCAGGTCAAAGTAAAAGGTATCAACATTTTGGCTTTTCACGATTTAGGCTCTGGCCGCCGGATAACAGGTCCGATCTGTCTCATTTTTGGGTTACACACTTCTTGATGTATGCCTTAGATATCCATGGGTACCGAACTTGTGCTCCAAATTGTTCAGGTCAAGGCCAGGTCATCCTAGGTCACGGAAATTTTATATCAGGTAGGTATAGGTCACATGACACATGTTTTATGGTTTATTTCAGCCATAGATTTCGAATACAGTGTCGTCTGTGTCATTTGAGACAATTTTTCAGCTGAATATAGCTGGGATCAGGTCACTTTTAGGTCAAAAAAGGGCAAATTTTGAAGTTGTAACTTTCAACAAAAACGAGGTCTGTCAGATGCAGTTTGAGCTTAGGAACACGATGATGCTATTTATATCGATGTGCGATGTCAAAAACGTGCTGAAAAAAAAATAATTTGAAAAAATTAAATAGTGAACTTTTTACTATAATGCGTATAAGTTGGTTATTTTTAGATATAACGGGTTAAAACTTGCTGAGGTACCTAAATCATGGGCATGTGTTTTTCACATATATTCCGATTTTTTGAAAGTCATTAACTTTTTGAAAAATAAAACTATAATTTTAAAACTTGTTATAAATAAAATTCAGCATTTTCAAAATTTTGAAAATTCGTGATAGCATTTGATAGCCCTTTGCCTTTGTACTCTTAGTCCTCTCATGCAAAGAAATTTGATTTAGCTAAAAAACTGACACGTTTGGACCAAGTTGACACGTTCAGCGGCTTAGAAGATATTGCAGAAAAACTGGAGGCTGTAGAGCCATTAACGGGTTAAAAGGTAAATACGGCTGATGTGCAATTATATCCTTCACCCATTTTCCTTGCAAATTGCAATACGAGGATTGGTAACACCAAGGTACTTTTAAAATGTAGGTAATGATTTTCATTTGCTCAAAGTGTATGCAAAGTGTATATATAAAGTGTATGCAAAGTGTATGTATATTTGCTTCGGACCAAGTATTAGTTTCGTACCAATGCTACTTTCATCGATGTAAACGTAATAGGTATAAGATAAATGATAATAAACTTATATGATTAGATTATCATGATTCATGCTATTTACTGCACCATTATTGACAGTTACCTATTTGTTTTGTTCTGCAGCACCCACAGGCATGTCTGCGAGCCCTTTATTTAAAGGTTGAAGAGCTAAGCCGATGATGTTGAAAGCGATCTCTAATGCAGTCATTGCCTACCTTGATGTATTCCATCAGAGCCTGGCCGCCTGGCTGTCAAAGGACTTTACCGGCGGATTTTATGTAACAGTGGCTTTATATTTTATTTTGGACTGTATCTGGCCGGCACAGCCGGAATTTATCATTCAATAAGTAAATGTCCACTATACGATGCTACGGCACATACGTGGTCAGCACGAATACGGGCAGTAGTAACACGGCCGGCACGAACATGCCCGGATTCTAACCCGGGCAGTATGGGCAACGGGGGTTGAATCACGGACATCACACAAGCTGACTACAAAATGTCATAACCCTCACTAGCCATAGGTTGACTGGAACGCTAGGTTGTGCCGCTTAGCACGCAACTAAGTGTGTATGGCTCATTGGCGCGCGTAACGGCACAGGTTTACGGTGTATCACTTAGCCTGTGTATTGCGGTACAGCCTACCATTACAGGCAGCCGAATGCCTGTAAGCAACGGAACATCATTCTGTAAGTAAGCCATTCTGTTTAACTGTATATATGTACGCTCACTGTCAGTCGGAATGTGTATCGACACCAAGCTACCTATTGCGAGCCATAAAACGTCTGTTTGACCGTCCACAGACTTTGGTATATTGCGGCAAGTCAAGTCATTATCATCTGGTCCTTATTTATCCAATGAGTTGTACTTTTGTTAGCGTTGTGATTGGGTTTGTTTGTGATTGTTGTTTGAGTAATAAGTAAACCACTGGTGACCAGTGTGACTATGTGACTGAGTGCTATATTTATGTGATTGTGTGAATGTGCAAGGCCGTTATAGTCCCATACGGCGTTTTTTTCGACGAAGCGAGCTATCCATAGCTGATCATTGATCAAGGAGCTATAAATAAAACACCGTACTGACATTCCACTGGCTACTTTTCTTCTTTCGTTTCAAAGCGATTATTACGATCATACTCGTCGGTAAAATGTGGCGACTTTCTTGTAATGGCGACCTTGCATCCATAATGGAACATTCTAAACCAAGGAAGCGTTACGCTGTCACTTTGAAGTTTCAGAGTCAAAGTTAATGTTGGCTGTCCTGATAGAATGAACGAAAAACAAAGCTATTCCGACAGACTGTGTTATCGAAGACATTCTATAGTTATGCGTCCACACGGTGAGTCATTTTGCGAAGCCACAACTGCGCTGCACTACCTATATGTAGCTTCGATCGTTTATACAAAATGGCTTCGAGCTAATGACGTCAACATGGGTAGATTCATAACATATTCAGATGAGCAATTACGGCGACCTAATATGGCTGCCGTGTGTCGGCCGCGTGGGCGAAACCAATAACGACTCCATTGCTGCAACTCGTGCCGCGCATTCCCTAACATGACTTACCTATCTGCGTCGCTGGTTTCCGTTATGGTGATGTGCGTGACTGATGTGATATTTTGCTAAATATTTATCTAGCCAACACAATCAATTTGTTAAGATAGCTTTTTATTATGCTGGATTGTAAATCGTTATAGAATTAGAAAATCTGGAAGATTTAGTGAAGAAATAAGGCCTGCTGGCTCATGCCTTCGCGAGTTGTTAAGCTGTTTAGCACCCTTTCGACCACAGCCCACCTAATGATACTCAGCCGCACAGCGTCCGGGTTGCACCGTTCATGGGTGTAACTTTATATACTTTCGAGGTCCCATGTGGGACCCCAATGCGAACATTTGGGACCCCAATTGTCATTTTGGGACCCCAATAGTGGAGGCCCCCGAGACGCATCAGCTACTTTGCAAACGGAGGTCCGATATTCATATAAAAGGTTCTCTGTTTAAATAGGAGGCCCCTTGGACAAATCGGAGGCCCTGTTGGACAAATAGGAGGCCCCCTGAACAAGTAGGAGGCCCCCGGAAAACAGGAAGTCCCCTGGAGAAATAGGAGGCTCTCTGGACAAGTAGGAGGCCTCCTGGACAAATAGGAGGCCCTAGACAAATAAGAGGCCCCTAGACAAATAGTAAGCCCCATGGACAAGTAGGAGGCCCTCTGTACAAATAGGAGGCCCCCCTGCAAAAATAGGAGGCCCCCTGGACAAATAGGAGGTCCTAGACCTAGACAAACAGGAGGCCCCTTTCACAAAAGGAGGCCCCTGGACAAATAGTTAGGAGGCCCCATGGACAAGTAGGAGGCCCTCTGTACAAATAGGAGGCCCCTGCAAAAATAGGAGGCCCCCTGGACAAATAGAAGGTCCTAGACCTAGACAAAAAGGAGGCCCCTTTCACAAAAGGAGGCCCCCTGGACAAATAGGAGGCCCCTTTCACAAAAGGAGGCCCCTGGACAATTAAGAGGCCCCCTGAACAAGGAGGCCCCCTGGATAAAGAGGAGGCCCCCTAAAAATATGAGCCCTCTGGATAAATAGGAGGCCGCTTGGAAAATAAGAGGCTACTTTAACCAATAGGAGGCCCCTTGGACAAATAGGAGGCCCCCTGAACATGTAGGAGGCACGCTGGACAAATAGGAGGCCTCTTGGGCAAAGAGGCCCCCTAGAAAAATAACAGGTCCCTTGGACAAATAGGAGGCCCCCTGGACAAATAGGGGACCTCTTGAACAAATAGGAGGCTCCATGGACAAGTAGGAGCTAGAGGCTCTCTGTACGAATAGGAGGCCCCCTGGACAAATAGAAGGCTCCCTTAACAAAAAGGAGTCCCTTAAAAAAGGAGGCCCCGGGACAAGTAGGAGACCCTTGGACAAATAGGAGGCCCCTGCACAAATATGAGACTCCTAGTCGAATAAAAGACCCCTGGATAAATAGGAGGCCCCTGGACAAATAGGAGGCCCCTGAACACGTAGGAGGCCCCCTAGATAAAGAGGAGGCCCCCTGGAAAATAGAAGCCCCCTGGATAAATAGGGGACCTTCTGGAGAAACAGGAGGCCTCCTGGACAAATAGGAGGTCCCATAGACGAATAGGAGGCCGCTTGGACAAATAGGAGGCGCCGTTAACCAATAGGAGGCCCCCTAGACAAACAGGAGGCCCTCTGTAACAGTAGGAGGCTCTCTGTACGTACAAGAGACCGGCGCTGTAGAAGCTTAGCCGTATGTACGCTAGGAGGCTCTCTGTGCAAGTAGTCGAAGTAGGAGGCTCTCTGTACTGTACCTACAATTACAAATAAGAGGCCCCCTGGGTAACTTAGATGCAACACAAATCGGAGGTCACCTATAAAAAAGCGGGACTCTGTTGGAATACCTGATTTAATAAATTATTTTCCTGATATTCAAATTACTTAGGTAGGGTAAGGTGCCTAATTAGCGACCCTTTCCGATTTGCGACCTACCTCCCTACAGAAAAACTGGCAGGAGAAAACGGGGTAAAAACATCGTCAAAAGGTCAGCCATACTTTGGTTATCAAGTGAAATTATTTTCCGGTCGTCGATGTTTCTGGTGGGACGTTTCAGGTGAGTTTAAATAAAAATGACGAGTTTCTTATCCAAAACGTGTGTGTTTGGGCCCTCTCTGATGAAAAGCGATGCACATTAGGATGATGCACCTTTTTTTATTCTGAATCGACATTCCTTTTTTAATTGATTGCCGTTTTCCCATAGTGAATCGCTCAACTGTGCACAGCATGGCGGTTAAAAATGTGTCGCAACTCATATTTCCTATTTGCGCCTGACATGGTCGCAAATAGCTCAAGAAGGGAAAGAAATAGGAAAAGAGAGAAATGAAAATGAGGTGTTGCTGAAGCTTGCAATGTGTGGCAGGGGATGCCAAATGTCGTCACCGACTGCAGGGGTGCCGAATTCAGCGCGGACCTGGAATATCATGCAAGATAGCCCGCAAAATTTGGGTTTCCGCCTTCTTTTCGCCTTCGGTGCATAACGTGATCAGTTTTTACTTACGTAAATGTGTTGGATAAACGTTCCTGTTCGAGTGATTGAGTGCTTTGCGAATAGGTTACCTTTTTTAGATCATATTTCATCTTTTCAGGCGTCGTATTTTTTGCCATTTTTAATATGGGGAAACCCATAGACTTATTAGCGACCCTCCCCGGTCGCTAATCGGGAAGAGTTCCCTATTAGCGTTTTTTGCAATGGTTTGCCAAAATGCTCACTACAAATAAGTTAGTGAATATTAGGGCAGAAAATGACTATATTTTAATAGAAAAATGAACGATCTTTCCGAAAATCAAGCCAGTAGCACAGTGGCACCCACAGAGCGTGAGCAATGACGGTTCAAATTAAGGGGGTCGCTAATTAGGCACCTTACCCTAATCCTCGTCCGCACATGGGGGGGGGGGCAGTGGTTGCCACACCCCCCACCCCGACCTAGGTAGTTTTTTTTCTGCTCTGCACTAAACATTTTGATTGCTAGAAGTCGGATATTTCGTATAGCTGCTGCTCTATCCTTTTTTAGCATCCACTGAAAATTTCAAGTTTCTGTGGTTTTTGGTTTCGGAGATATGACCTTATTCTTCAGGTAATGTCATAACCCAAATGACAAATACCCAATATCTTGCGTTGGCGTTGGGTCTTGTGAGCTTTTGACACCTTGATTTCGGCCTTTTTTGTCAGTCTTACCTCCCACCTATCATGGAACATGTTGTTCAATGATGTAGAGATGCCAGGGTCAGGGTCAAGGTCAACCTAGGTCGTCTAAAAATATTGCGTTTTAGGCAAGCTGAATTTACTTTCGTGAAGTTTCTTTGACTGTATTTTTGGCAAAAGCTTCTCAGTTCATGATCTCATGTAATATGGACACATTCACAGTCGGTGCACACATCAGTATACTCGTACACACAGACACACACAGACATACAAACACATGTCATTGACCTTGAGCTAACTTGACCTGAAATGACCACAGCCAGCAAAAACCTAGTCGGATAGTGTGACAAAGAGGTTCTAGCTGGCTTGGCACCACAATACGGCAGCGTCATCGGTACATGATGAGCAGCGCACGTGATATTCCAACGGGCAACGGTGACCCCAAACAGCAACATTCTTTAGTTTGACCTGACCTGGAAGGTCAATGACTGACCTGATGAGGTAAAATTGGTATCATTGGATTCGTCACTTCCCAAAGAATCTGTTGCTCTTGACCGCAAGGCTTAAAATCTTGTAAGAAAAAATTGTGGTGATGTCGAATAAGATACCTACACAAGCAGCGGGCCAACCCATCATATACCGATGACGCTGCCGTATTAGTGCCAAGCGAGCTAGAACAGCTCTTTGTCACACTATCCGACTAATTTGCTGGCTGTGGTCATTTCACGTCAAGTTAGGTCAAGGTCAATGATATGTGTTTGTATGTCTGTGTATGTCTGTGTATGTACTGATGTGTGCACAGATCGGTTTGTGTGTCCCTATTACACTTGATCATGAACTGAGAAGCTTTTACTAAACATACAGTCAAAGAAACTTCACGAAAAGTAAATTCAGCTTGCCTAAAGCGCAATAATTTTAGATGACCTAGGTTGACCTTGACCCTGACTCTGACATCTGTACATCGCAGAACAACATGTTCAATGATAGGTGGGAGGTAAGACTGGCAAAAAAAAGCCGAAATCAGCGTGTCAAAAGCTCACAAGGCCCATAGCCATCGCAAGATATTGGGTATTCGTCATTTAGGACATGACATGACCTGAAGAACAAGGTCATATCTCCAAACCCAAATGCCGCAGAAGCTTGAAATTTTCAATGGACGCTGAGAAAAGATAGAAAAGCAGCTATACAAAGAAAATCAGGTTTCTAGCTTTAAAAATGTTAAGTGTAGAGCAGAAAAACTAACTTGGGGGTGGCGACCCTCCCCCCAGGTGCCGGCGAAGGTTAACCCTCACACTTTCTGGGGTCGGCTTACGGCTAGATTCCTTGCGCAATGCTGTGCCGTTAATTTTTTTTCTATTATAAAGGCATTGTGTTTTATTGTCAAAAGTGAAAAAGCCAGAAATTTTCGTCGATTTCGGATGCCGCGGGGGATATTTACATACAATGTCACCCTGCTGGCCTGGATCCACCAGTAGGGTCAGGTGACCTACCATTTCTTTATCGATATTAAAAAAAAATCATGGCATCAGAGCTGTGACGAAAAATAAGTGGCCTAAATCCGATGAGAAAACTGGATTTGGGGGTACCCCATGTTTGGCTTCTGAGCCTCTGGTCCCCCAATGAAAATTTCTTAGAGGAGGCCCTGGCGTGGCTCGTAAATTACCGCTTCCGCAATTGGAGGCCCCTAATTGCTTGGAGGCCCCCACTAAATGGAGGCCCCCTTGGACGTTTGGGACCCCAATGGTGATGTCAAAGTTTCACCCATGCGACCGTTTTGATAGTCATTAAGTGTCCTAAGTCTTCCAAGCATTGCATTCATCCTGCTTTGCTCTTGCCTTTTCTGTTTTTGTTTCTTTTTTCGTTTTGCTCGTTATATGCGTTCGTTCGTTTGCTTATTTCAGTGCCTTCTCGTATTCAGGAGTCTCACACCCTCAGTTAAATATTCACTCTATAGATAATCAAGTACCTAAATGGTGATAACTGCAAGACGGCGGGTTAACCAATATAGAAGAGGTTTGCCCTGTGCGGTCGACAGGAGTTCATTGTCCGCCAGCGTCAGTTCAGTCCAGTCCGCTGCTACCGAGCCATCCGGTCGTGTGTTAGCGGAAAGCTCCATTTGCAGCCCATCATACAAGACACTCTAATAAGCCGACTCCCAAACGCCTATCGATCCAAGGCCAGCAGTGGTTAATGTCATTATCGAGCCGTATAGCTTGATCGTTCAGTAATGGTCGCTTAAGGTTGATGTCATTGTATTGGCTGATGTGAGGTTTCAGCCTTTTCTGTTCACTTTTTTATCGTTCGTATGTTGATACAGGAACACTCTACATACACAGACAGCGCTCGAATTCGAGAGTGGCGTGATTAGCCACCGTTTTATTTCCTCGGCTTTTTAGATCCTCATTTCCACTGACATGTTAGGCAGGTATTGACGTTTTATAGTAAGTACAGGGCGTTGCAGGTAAATCCGACACTTGGAAAAAACGTGTTTATTCGAGTGCTATGCTCACGATGAAAAGTTTGGGCAGTATGTTACATCTCTATGATCAATTGCCTCCCCCAAAACACCGTAGGGGCGTGCCAACGGACGCCCCTACGTCTTCCAGCAAGACTCCGCCCCGGCGCACAAGGCCAGGACGACGCAGTCGTGGCTGCTCAACAACGTCCCTCACCACTGGTCGCCGGACTTGTGGCCGCCCTCCTCACCTGACTGCAACCCCCTCGAGTATTTCTTCTGGGTCGTGATCGAGGCCAAGACCAAAAAGCACGCACACAATACCGTCGACTCTCTCAAGGCCGCCATCGTGGCAGAGTTCGCCGCCGTAGACAAGGACACGGTCGCCAAGGCGTGCGAATCATTTCGCCCTCGGCTTGAGATGGTCGTCGCCGCCGACGGCGGTTACATCGAGTAGAAGTGCAGCATATGACTCGAACTGGTGCTGAATAAAATGCCAGGCCTGTGTGTGCAATATTCATGCTTTCATTGCCGATTTCGTATTTTGCCTCTCAAGTGTCGGGCTTACCTGCAACGTCCTGTAAGTCCTTAATGCCGGGTAGTAGCCGGTCTTATGGGTGAATCGTTTGTCTCCTATTTGTATAAGTATTTCTAATCACGTCAAGGTTTTGTCAAAGTCACGAATAAGATTAAGTAAGCCCTAAGCAAGTATCTACTTGTATGAACATGCAACATTGTTTCCGTTCGATTATTTCATGGTTATTGGTTGACGGTTGTTGACATTTAAAAATTTATTTCCATATATTACATAAAACACTCATGTGGTGGACATCGGCGAGGGGATTCGCCCAGTACGCTTATACGACCGGAAGAGACAAAATGTGGCGACGTTCTCGCCCAATGCAACTGGAACTGTATTAGCCGCTCCCATTGGATGCAGGCGTCACATAACACTCGATGCGCGCCTCCATTGAACCAGTCGGTCGGACTGGCTGATGATTTGAGAGCCGTGTGCGCGTCACTGGGGGCTGTCGCTGCACCGAGACGCCGTGGGCACGGGGTCAGTGCGGGCCAGTCCCGCGGTCAGCGCTCAGCCTCCGTGGTCAGCGCTCAACCCCAGCGCCCAGGGCCTGGCCCGCGGCAGGGTCAGGTCAGGTCGCGGTCCTCAGCGAGCCGTCGCCGCCACCCGCGGCTCACTGACCTGATAAGCAGACAGAGACGTGTCAGCTTCACAATATAATGTAAAATTCGTTAGGCTATTTCAAACTGGATGGCGTATGGAAGAACGCTAGCCTTATTGGACTTGTGCCATTATTTATAGCACGTCATTAACGCGAGTCATCGGAAGTCATTATGGGAAGGCCGAAAACACTATTTAGTTAAATTATATGTGCTGAAACAACCAGTTCTGACGATACCCTGATTCTAGAAGCCGATTGAATTCGACGTTTTAACCGTCAATGCCTCTTCCATAACGCCCCTCGGGTAGGGGAAGCAAACTTTGGTTTTCACCTGCAACTCAAGCAACTCATTATCATTAAGAATGATAAATGTGAAGAAATTGTGGTCTGTTCTTTTGTCTCAGTGCGTGTCCGTGACATGATTTCCAATCCAGCACCTGCATGTCTGTCGTGTCTGTGTGCACCGTTGAAACATGTACCTATGTATTTTGCACTTAGTTGACATGCATTTTTTCTTTCTCACCGCCTCATGCAATGTTGTTTGTTTTGCTGATTTCATGCGCTTTGTAACTTAGGGTAGAGTGGGGCAAAGCGCCCAGGGCGGGTCAAACGCCCACCCCTCTTTTTTATGAAGTGCTCGACTTTTCGAAGAATTCTCGATAGCCATTTTCAAGAACGAGCAGGAATCTACTTTTGCCCCCTTTTTCGGTTCTACAAGTGGGTTGTTCTGGACGTAAGATAAAGATTAGTTTATTTCAGACAATTCTTAGATATTACATGTTTTCATACTACTAAAACTTTGTCTGACAGAGATTAAAGTAGGCAGTGAAATTTAGCTACGCAGAACCCACGGATTTAAGCTACGTTTTGAGCATTTACTGGTTTGTAACACAATCGTCACACGCTTAATTTTGGTGGACTTCGTTTTGAATGTGCTGTTGGGGTAATACGCCCACTTTGGTGTGGGGCAAAACGCCCATCATGGGCGTTTTACCCCTAATGGGAGTTATACAGTACGGGTATTTGCGAACATTTTTGGCTGAAAGTGAGTGTCGGGATACGTTTCTAATGCTCAGGATTCTTATGAAATATGCAATATACTGGTTAGTATCGCCTGGAACAATTTATTCGCACGAACTAATCTCCGCTCTTTAAGGCGGTGACAGCCCGTTGACTGAATGAGGAGTGGGGTGGTAACAACAGTGTTCAAGATGTGTTTGGTGGTGTAATCTATCGATTTAAAGTCAAACAAAATGAGAAATGATAAATACTGCATTCTTTTGTCAGAGTACCGAGCGTGTAATGAAACGTTCAGGACTGGGCGTTATGCCCCACTCATATGGGCGTTATGCCCCATGTGTGGGGCAAAACGCCCGATTTGTAGTCCTCTCAATTCGGATGGCATATCTCAAAAACCATGCATGCCACTTGTTTCTGATGTGTTATTCGAAGAAAGCCAAGGTAATGAGCTACCAGATCAGCTACCTAGTTGTCTTTCAAATTTGTAAGATAAAGAGATACTGGGGCTGGAAAGTTAGGGTGGGCGCTTTGCCCCACTCTACCCTATATAACTTAGTTTTGAGCAAATAGAAAATAAAACAATATCAAGGGTTCGCCCGTTGTAAGACAAGTGGCGTAGACACGTCAGAGGCGACGGTTCACGGGAACTGTGCGTTGCTGTGTCAAATGTCAGCCCACGGTAACCATGGCAACGTGACTACAGAGCTGCCTGCGTCACAATGGCTCGGTAAGAAAAGGCCGTCTGAGGACGCGTGCAGCTGCCGCTCCCCTGTTTGGACCGCTCTGATGCGGACAATGCACGAAAATCAATGGTTTCCTGGGTGTGGCACCACCTGACTGGGGGCTCGACACAAACGACGGATAGATATCATGTTTTTCCTTTCACCCGAGAGTGTCAAAACGTTTTGTGACTTGTTTCCATTTCACACGCATTCTGAACTCATTAGCTTGTGGAGCCAAACGGACTCCAGTCGGCAGTGACAATTGGGAGAGATTGTCAAATCCTACTGTTTCGCGGAATTCATAAAATATGTAGTTATAATGCTGCTTGAATGCATGAATCCCTTTTGACGTGCACAACTCATAATAGCCTTAGTCGTCACATAACTGCAGTCGCTTTTTAATTCCTGATCGGATTTAACAAACACACGGGGGGAAATATTGAATAAATAAATGGAAGGACACAGAGCATACCAAAGTGGTAACGTATTCAGGTGAAAAACGTCCGCTCTTTGCATGGTTGGCTCACACCTGTAAAGCCTATCACATGTTAACTAGTTTTACAAGCTCATTAAGCTCATTTAATGTCTATTTTTTCCTAATTGTTTTCAGCAAAAATAAAGAAATAAGATTAAAGTACTCGGCTTTTCCGGACAGTTTCGCGACTGTATTCTTGTCACTTCGTCAGCGGCATATAAGTAATATAAACATTTTCACTCTTCCATCCTCCTATACAATGATTTGAAAGTTTATTTAAATAAAAAAACAAATGTTTTAGCTTTTTTGCCATATTCACCTGGGTGCTTTGAAAATAATGAACCAAGTCAAGCAATTAAGCCATAATATTTGGTTTCAAATCGCTTTTCACCTTAGCGTAGCCCAAAGGAAAAGGGGGAGTAAGACCATCTTAGTTAAAAAAAAAAACGTTGAGAATATGCTCTATTCAATCATAGTTTAAGTTATCTTTAGGGGTGACTGGTCATTTCTAAAGTTACAAGAACTTATTAATATTTTTTTCTAAATTTCATATTTCATACCTACTACGCAAAAAAAAACGTACCTTTAGACATGCAGGTGTAAAACACGAATTAGTTGGTAGCCATCACGTAAATAACTAGGACACTTAACAATGAATTTAACTATGAAGTTAGGTAGGCTGCGACCAATGACCGACTACTAATGTCTTCAAACACCTGACGAGAAATTAATAAAGGAACAGTATCATCATTGGACAATGACGCGGCTAAGAAGGGACACGTCCGACATGCCTCCAGTAACCGCTGCTACCTTTTAAAACGGTTGTCCTCCATGCATTATAAACAGCCGGATAGCCCAGTGACGCACGAGGACTGATGCATTATGCAATAAGGCCACGGCCAGCGTGGAGCACAGAGGCCATGGCGATGAGACGTGAAACACATCGGAGGCTCATGCGCCCTAACTGAAAACAAAAAATGGAAAGCATTGCCTCCCGCTGGCATCCAATGCCATCTTTCTGGACGGCGCGGCGGTGGCTGGGGTATATAAATGATTGTCTCTCTAACGATAAGCGGGGAAAGGGCGCAATGGTGAACAGACGGCTAAAATCAGCTCGACCCTCTCTTTCGCCTTCCTCCCCGACATCCTCGTCCATCCCCAGGTCAAGTGGTTCGGTGAATCTCAAGTTTAGCAGTCCTCCCTCGTTCGGGCTTGATCACACCGTTTCACCGTGTATCGGTTCTTTCAAGAGAGATTGTGCCGTCCACTGACCTGCTGTACCGGTGCTACGGCCGCCTGTTCCGGCACGCTCCTCCGACCCCGGTAGTACTGGGGCGCCGCCTGCGAAACACACCGATCTCAATCAGTAGGGAGCCGCCGAGCCCGCCAACAGATGACGGGGCGATCGCCACACACCGTACGACGGAGGGTGCTCCCGATTAGGACTTAGGAAGGACTATTTCTACTTATAGGAGTGGCGGTGCCGCGGCGGTGCACCATGAACAGTGACCGCATCAGCTAATATCTCCTCCCCATTTCAATTGCTGTGACTTTGAAAAACTCATTTTAGACCAAAAGGGGTAACCTAATCCGAAAATATCAAGCATCGTGATTTGAGGTAACTTTTTAGGCTGCCTTAGCGATAAACGATCTCAGAGCTTCGAGCCCATGTTCTGCCTCGCTTCACGCCCTGCTCGGACCGAGGTGATCCGAGCAGCGGCGGCTGGGCGCAGCTCACGTGCCTGGTCCTGACGAGCCCTCAGCAGGGTGGCCAGCAGGTCCTCCCAGAGTCGCGAGTCGGCGCCGGCCGGCGGCTGGGGAGGTCCGCCGGCGGCCTCCTCCAGCAGCGATAGGTCCGACCTCTTACGGCCGCAGCCTGCCGAACAAAATCGCAATCACGCGCTATAAACATAATCACGCTTATGGCCGCAGCCTGCGCCTGCCGAACATTATCAGGCCGCAGCCTGGAAATACGGCCAGGGGGAGGGGCAGTGCAGTCAGTCCCCTCACGCCCGCAGCCATCAGATCTGAATCCATTACAAATGATTTGTTCTGGAGAGCTAGAGGGACGGTAGCACTGATCGGAGAGGCGCAGTCGCACAATGGTGAAGCATTTCGTTTCCACTTTGGGTGAGCTGGGACTCAGCGAAGCGCCGACCTGCTGGGCATTCGTCAGTCACAACTGAAGTGGCTTGGACCAATAAGCAATCGAGATAAAAGTGGCGTATGCATGATGCATGCATTTAGCACGTAAGTTATAAGTATACCGATAGTACATCTTACCCGTGAAAGCGTTGCAGAATGGCCGCTTGTCTTTTGCTTGAAACAACATGTCTGGACTAATTTCCTGCGAAAGAAAAACGGAATCATTGTCTGTATATCCCCTTATCAGTTAGTTAAAGGATGCCCGCAAGAATATATATTACTGACCGGGCCGACGAAATTATTTGGAAACGAGGTTTGCAAAATTGACGTAGGCCCGAGTGCGAAGCACGAGGGCCGGAGTCAAATTTTGCAGACCGAGTTTCCAAATAATTTCGTACGGCTGAGGTCAGTCGAGGTCAGTAAGATTTTTCCTACATGCCGCATACCTACATGCTAAGTAGTTTCGACAGGTTTTGGTGACACTTTTATACAATTGTTTTGTCCATAATTTCCGAACAGTGATTGCACTACTGCTGTGGATAAAGCTTTAAAGGAAATTTATAGAAGAAAATGCATCAAAATACCTCACTTCAAAAAGAATCGAGTCTGAAAATATCAACTCAGAATGGCACAACAATTGGATATCCAAGGAACATCATGTGCATGAATAATTTGCCACGACATAAGAACAAGAAGAAGGTAGAAGGTGTAATATTCCTAGTGATTAAACGTGAATTTTCCAGTGCTCTTGCAAGAATCTTTTCTTTATTTATGTAATCGTACTTTGTTGATGACCTATGGCTAAACTTTCGTGAAATACATTATATTTTCCATATTTTACATATTTGTTTCGAGCAAAGGACTACAACTGTCAAACAATAGCGCAATAACTTAGGCCCAAGGTATCAGTGGACATATCAAACGAAGATAAGAAACAAGCGATAACGGATTTCGATTAATAGGAGCATATCTTGCCATAATTTTGGCTTTGTAACCAATACTAAGCATTTCAAAACCATTAATAAGCAGAACAGATATTTTTTTACCAATAAATGTTAGTTTTCTAATTTTACGCGGCAAATATCATGCAATAATGATGTCAATTACACATTCCCTATCAATTATACCTCTGGGCTAATCCGATAAACTGTAGTTTAGAGGTCATTGCCCTGGGCAGTAAACTCGGGCAGTAAACTTTTGTTTCCTGCCCGGCCTATCAAATAACATGGTATTTTGACACCGACAGTTTCTTGGTCATAGTTTTACTGCCCGGCTCGTGCTGTGCTTAAGACATACCCCGGCATGTAGGAAACACAAACATTGCCTTTGGGAGTTGATGCATGCATGCCGACAGGCACAGGTCTGGCTAAAATATCACAAAGTCGAATGCCTCACTCAAAACAAATGTCGCAAAGTACTGGGAACTGCCTGTCTCAAAATCAAATGCGTCCATACTGGCTGCCAGACGGATCAACATTGCAGGGACATTTGACAAGACTGAATTATATCAGCCTTGGGCTTAAAGAACCGTTTTCTACACGTCTTATGTAGTGAATAAATCTTAATCCTTTGAGAACGTGATGATAGATTTAACGGCCTACTGTTAACGGCAGGTTTGGCTTCATTTCATGACTTAATTCCACGAGGCAATATATACAGCTATGTAGTCATTCTCACCCGTTTCTGGATGGTCTTGGCGATGGTGAGGGCGCAGCAGCACAACAATACAGCTCCGAGCAGCACCGTGTCGCTCCTGTCCGGTCTCATTCTGCGTGCACACAGACACAGTTTGTGCACATCAATTATAATACATACTGCCACTCGTAAAGTCGACTACAGAATGATGTTCCACTTTTCGCAGGCAATTATTTGCCTGGAGTGGTAGGCTGTGCCGCATCACACGGGCTGAGTTCACAAATTAGAGCTTTGTCCCAATGCTCACAATCGACACGCTTAATTGCGTGATAAACGGCACAACTTAGCGCTCCGGTCAACTAATAGCTACTGAGGAGTGGAACATCATTATGTAGTCGACTATACAGCATCTCAATCCCACCGCGTACCGTCGCCCAGTTGGGACATTTTTTAAACATCACAGACTGTAGGCTATTTTTCAATGACCTCGGTGAACAACATCACTAACGGCCTCACAGCTCAGGTGAAGCGAAAATCAGTGATACTGGCGATCGTAGAAAGTTGCTGTGCATGCAAGATCATTGCTTCGAGCCTTTTTCGTATTGTCATCGTTTTTAGCATTGCTATTATTCTCCCATAAACAAACACCCGTCACCCTGATTGTCAAGAGTTATGTGCGTTTGTGTGGGCTTTTGTGTGCCCCCCCCCCCCGCTTCAGCTCGACTACTCGTCCAAGAAGATGCACGAGTGGCACCTCTCTCATCCGGCGGTCGCATCTCAGGCCACTCAGCATCCGGCGGCCATCACCGCCACGGGCAGGCGCCGGTTGGAGCCGGCCGCCGCCCACCCTGTGATTAGGGCCGATCGCTGACAGAGCCGGGGCCGAGGCGGGGTGGTCCCCCGATCCGCTGCCACCGCGGCGCACCAGGTCAACACACATTCATCGCCAGCCGACCGCCTAACGCATCAATGTATAAATGGGCACCAATCTGCATACTATAACACTGAACGGCGAATTCTCAGTAAAAAAAAAAAACGCATTTTACGAATGTGTAGCGGGCAGTGCTAAATGAAAATGGTCGCTTGAGAGTTCTACTTTAAGTAGAACTTTCTACAAAGATTATATGCCATTAAATGTCAATCTTTTATAAAACCAGCGCTCAATTCACGCTATCCGCGGCTGCAGCGCCGCGACGGACGGCTGTGACGGTTGGTATACGAAACGCCAGGTAGGTAGGCTGTGCCGCAGTGCTTCCTTGTCCGGCGGCACAGCATAACTACATGAAACGAGACTCGCCGCGCACTACATACAGGGTCCGGCAAAGGTTTTGTCTTCTTCCTATATGACAACACTTTCCGGTGCCTAATCGTTGATAACCCCAAGAAATAACGGTTCTGGTTGCACCCCTGCATTGCACGGTCTTTGACCACGGGACATGAGGTTGCTAACGGGCCTCGGGTCATGGGTCACTGGAGCTATGGCCAGTTTCACACAGATTGTCCACCCGAACGGCCGCGTCGCAAAATGAAGTCTGAAATTTTTATCTCGAGGAGCTGAACCAGACAGTTGACATGCTCCAGGCCGAAATGACACAGTATGTCATTGCTGATCAGTTGGGACATCTGCCTGCACACTGCACAGTCCGCGGCGTTCGTGGGATAAGCATACGGCTGCTGGCAGCGTAGCTAATCGTTCCAGTTTGAGCACACGGCTACCATTTCTACCGTGACAGAAGTCGCCTTGAAAATTTGAAAAATGCGGCCGGGAAGAGGGGCCAGTTGGTGACAAAAAAAAAAAATGGCAAAGCGACTTATGCGCAACAGCTATCCCCTCTCCAGACATGACCGTGAGACGCTATTGGAAGAGCCCTCCGATCTCTGCATTTCACTGCCTTTTCGAAGGCTGATTGGCTGTTTGCGTCAGAAAGCATTCCTCAGCGTGTTGTTTTTGCAGAATACAGTGGCTTGGCATGTCAGTTCCCACAACCGATTCTGTCACGGCTGCGCTCATCTCATTGTGCTCCCACCGACTGTGCGTACCAAAAAGCGCTGTTCACGTCAGTGAGCCGGGCTCAGAGCGGCGTTGGCCGCCCCGGTAACTCCTGCATTACCGATAGATCCAGAGCTTATGTCTTGATTGATGTGTTTTGATGCTGTGACCATTGTCGATTTGATTAGGTCATAGGAGGCAATAAAATGATAGCTCTTGATGTGCAGAGCAGATTTAGTTCAATGACAAAGAGCCAAGAGGGGCACTTAAACCAGGAATGCTAACAACTGTGAAAATGCACAGCAAGAAATTATATCGTCAGAGACTTGTAGGGAGATGCGCAAACGGATATCAAATGTGCTTGAACGTTTTAGCTGAAAAAGTATTTTAAAAACTATACATGGTTCGCGCTCACCATAATTATGTGCATGCGGGTTTCGTTCGTTTAAACTGAGTGACCTTAATTAAGCCATAAGAAGCTAATCACGTCCTAAGGTCACTCACAAATTTCACAGGATTATGTTGCCCAACATTTCTTATTCCAAGCGTTGGAACGCTGAACCGTGGCGAATTTGGAAAATGAGCACCAGGTGCTTATAGAGGCTCAGCTGATTTGACATGACCACTGCCCATTGCTCAGCCGATAATTTCTTGATTAGAGGAGTTAGGCGTTTGCAAGACGTACCTACTGCCGCACGATGTAACGTTTGCATTATTATTTCGCTTGGTGCACGAGGTGGCAAACGAAGCTCGCAACGAACCGATACGTATCCACTGGGTCCTTGGGGACACTTTAATAGACACAAAGAAAGAAAGGGTGGTAAAGGGTGGAAGCGTTACGCACTGTCCCTCGCTAGACGGAACTTATCAAATATTGACTCAAATCATGACTACTTGCATTGTAGCATCTTAAGCAACATTTCGCTGTCAACCTTTTATGCTTTAAAATTCATCTTCAGCACATGATTTAAGCAGAAGCATGATTTCACGATTACAGTTGACTACAAATTATTATAGACTGAAAAGTGAGGTCTGGTACATTCTGCTATAGTAGGTGTTAAGTTTCCAAATTCCAGCTATGATGATTTGTGTGTTTCCGTCAGCGCAAAAAAAAACTCTGCTATTGCTACCTTAGTTTAGGTTTCTGTATTTCAGTTCAAAATGACAGCTGTGTCACCTCTAGTCAAATAACGGCAGCATTGTCGACTCTGACTGTCTTGGAAGCGAGTATAGGATTTCCCTGCACACTGTCCGTCTAGAAGAGCACGTGTAAGTTACCGAACTAGATACAGATGAGTTTTTATTTTTAACATGCAATTACAAGAGTGTAATGGACCAACCAACCACCACGTAGCCACGGTGGCTGGTCGTGAAGCTGCTGCTGGTCCGGCCATGTGATTGCGATCGTACACAAGTATATAAAATCTTCAAAGCGTTTAGAAGCATAATTCATATTTGTAGAAGTGCTTATTTCCTGTACATAACGCAACCACCGCGCATTTGAGAAACCCCTGCTGTAAATACGTTGGGTCGTCGGGATGGGGGAGTGGGCGCGCGTTGTGTGTGAGAGGGTTGTTTGGTGTATGTGATTTTTTGAAGCATGCATGTACCTATGGGCAACGGGAGCGGTGCTTCGATATAAGCACGCAGTGCTTTTGCGCCGCCCTGCATATCCTGTTTGAGACTTGCTCTTAGCAATACATGATGATGATGTTGATGACGAATGATGATGATGATGATGGTGGATCCAGCAAGGTGGAAAAGGACTGCCAACTGTGCTGTGCATCCGACCATATGAGGGAGCGCAAGACGTACATAACTGTAGAACGAACAGTTATGAACGAACTTGGCTGACGCTCCGCTAAATAACCGGAAACAGACCCTGGCCGTTTTCTCAATCTGTAGTTTTTCGTTCTTTATTGGCGTGCAATATACTCATGTCTTTGAATGCTATAATACCATCTTTACGTAGTTCGTCACTAGATAAATTGAGAGTTTCGTGGGAAAAGAGGTTGTGCTTATCACAAGACGCAACAACACCCGTGAGGCATTAAAGTTTAGAGCGCGACGGTGATAATTGTTTTTATTAGGTCAAATCGAAAAGAAAAATAACTCGAAGAAAATCACTTTGCAATGAAATTTGACCGTTTCTTTTCTGTTACTCAGCGGCGAAGGATGTATTTCTGATTGATTTGCCTAGCACGAACACCAAGGTAGGCCAGTTTGACGTCTATTCAATATTTTTTTTTTACACAGGTAGACCCGTCTGCCGTCTGGGACCTTTCCTCATTCGAAAAAAATGAAACCAAAGGAATTCATTCTTCACATAATCGGCGCAACGAATCTGTTGAGTTCTGAGGTGAGGGGACGATTCTCCTCTAGAGTAACAAACATCGCCCAGGAGGGTGACAGGGTTTGACCGGCGGCTCTGAGGCTTATCTGTATAGGGTTCGCTTCCTACCTGGCTGGCGACGGCGCGGCAGACGCGGACGGCAGGCGGACACACGGGGCGGAGTGCGACCGCAGGCCGGCGACGAGCCCTATTTCAGCGTGAGGGCCCGGCGGCGCGCGCACTGGCACTCGGCGGCTCACCCACGCAGCGGTCAGCTTACCTGAGCAGTGGGCGTTCCTAAATATGAGGGAAATACGTCTAAACGATTGGTTTACTTTAATAAAATGATTTACTCAACTAATATTCTTAACAAAGCCACACCAAACATTAAAACGTTACATTTAAGCGAACAATGTTTCGTCCATTTCCATCTTCCCTTTCTTATATTTTACGGTAGCAGTAGGTACCTACCTAAGAAAATGATTACCTACCTTTTTTAAAGTTTCTTTCTTGGAAGGTATTTCAACAAACATAATCAAATACCTAACTATAAATTACCTGATTTCATACCTCACCAGACATATCAACATTCGGTTTTATACATATCAGCCGAGGGCGGTTGGTGCCATGGAACCCATCGCCGCTCGCCCCTAATTAAGCTAGAGCTTCCTTCGCCAAAAAAAAGAAGAAAAAAAAACGAGCGTGTGCGCTGTTACAAGACGCAGCGAATGGTACCTATACTCAGCCAATTTTGTCTCAGGTCAGCTGGTGACCTCTGAAGTCAGGTCAACATGACCTGTACTCGGGGTGTATTGGTGTTACAAGATCCGACTTAAATCGATGATCATGAGTGTCAGCTTTTAACATTCTGTCGCTACCGTGTGCTGAGAAATCACGAGAAAGCCGCAAGGGGGTGGCACTTATACAAAGTACCACAAGACGTTTTTTTCGCGATTTCTCTGAACGCATTGGCCATGAGAATTGAAAGCTGACACACCTGAACTTTGATTCAACTCTGATTTGGTGACTGCAGCTCAATTTTATGGTCAGGTCAGGTCACTGACCTATGACGTCATAAGCGAACCTCTGCACGTCCCTAAAAGGTCGAAGCTTTGCAACACCATCAGTGCCAGGGAGCCTTTTGCATTGAGATTAAACTTACAGACTTACAGGACTTCGTGAGCTCCCATGCCATCGTAACTTGAGTTATATCTCGGATTTTGCATGAAGGTCACCTAAGGTCAGGTCGGTCGCGTGACTTCATCATTAGGTAGGTATATGTCAATGTGAGAAACATAGAAGCTTATTTTGGGGCAAAAAAAAAAAACGATGTAAGACTATTTCACAATGCACGCACATGGGAACGTAGCTTAATATAGGTGTACATAGGTCCAAGCATAGATAACAGTAGGTAGAACTTTTATCTATGCTTGTTCTTCTGTTATCTATGGTCCAACTCCAAGCTAATGAAGATCATGGATACTTAGGTAATCGTGCAAGGTCCCAACCTAACTTTTGCATTGTTGACCTTGTGTAATGTCATATATGACGTTACTCGGTCATCGGATTTTCATCGTCAATAATTTACGATGAAATTGGTTTTACGAGTCGCGAAAGACACAAAAATCTCAGAAATATATGCCATTTCGAATGATATGCAACATGACATCCTCCGAGCAAGTTTGTGACCTGAACAGCTTTGATTTGACCTTGGCTTGATGTTAACAGTGTGCCGAAAAGATACATAAAAACGTGTGCTAAAAACGCCGGCGCCCCACATCACCGTTTTCCAAAAACGGCATTGGAGCGTTAAAAAAAATCCTCGGCCCAGGACGGGTTAACGGCCGAATATCCTGTACGTTGCGATCACCTTGTTTGGCATGCTATGACTGGAAGGCTATCGTCGGTTGCCCAGTCCGGATAGGAGCTGCCCGTCCCGTCCCCGGTCGGCCCGAACGGTCTACCGCCTGCCCGGGCCGACTTTAGCGGACCGCTCCTCACCAATCGGCTAAACCGGTTACCGGCCGGTAACTACAGCGACGAGCGGAGCGAGCATCGCACTCAGTCCGTCACACCGGCCAAACAGACACACGGTCACCCTGACCAAACAAACAGCCGGTCTCATCAGAGTCCCATCCAACTCACTATTTCCAGATTCCCTGGTGAAGCGTTAAAAACACACTAAACGGTTACAACATTATTTATTCCAAAGGAACCAGTGATCATGGATGTTATGTAGGTACCTACCTACTGATTGTTCGCTGATCCCGATTACATAGTGTTTACCACCATTAAAAAAAAAAACTCGGACCAAATCAACTTTTAGCCGAGACGGTGTTACTGAGACCATAGGTAGTCAGTAGTCCCAGTTTCGGATTAAGCTGTGGGATTACTTCACAGCTGGGCGGAGCTAGGGGGCGTGGCGGCTGGCGCTCCGGGTAGACCGATGAGCCCCGCCCACACCGTGTCCCGCTGACAGTGTCTTTCGCCACGGTCGGCCTGGCAGGCAGAGCACAGTAAAACGTATTTAACTCTGTAAATCATCAGCACATTAACATACGCAGAATAATGATGATGGTGCGCACGGTCCGTGCAATGCGCCCTTATCAGGCACGTACCCAGGATTTCGCCCAGGAGGGGGCCACCTGCTTTCGAAGGGGCCCCCCACAGTGTATAGGGCCCCCAGGTTCCCCGGGGGCCCCCGGGAGTCATGAAGAACCTTTCGATGGTGGTGGTGGGGGGGGGGGGGCATAGTGGGTCCGGTCTCTCCTGCAGACGTAGGTGAGAAAACGCCACGTGTGTGGAAAAACGCAATTCAGTTCTTTACAACCTAATGTAGCATTTGGTTGTGATTTCTCGCGTTCAACTTCATCAAAGTCAATTAAAACGGTCTCTGTAACGGTCTAAGCCTTGAGAAAATGTGGAAAATTGGAAAGTAAAAATATTTTTGCTTGAGAAGTGTGCATGAAACGCACGGCATTTTATGAGCGAGCGCCTCAATTACTGAACATCCTCTCCAATTCCGGATATGTAGGTAGGTATATAATATAATAGTGGGGAATAAATGTCTCGTTATCGGAATTCCACTATCTGGCAACTAGCCCTATGTAAACGCGGCTATTATATGTTTCACTAGGAATCGAGCGCAATTGTACTTTTAGCCAGAAAATAAATGCTTGGGTAATTCTGGGACACTCTGTATTAATTGGAGGAATAGGACTTAGGAGGAAATGCGATTGCAAATCGACCCACATCCCTGTGTTAGCCAATGACGCCTTTGGGGCCAAGGTTGGGGGGTATTCAGTTTAGCCTTTTTGTTTTTCTGTGATATGATATCCCCGGCACCGTGAAAGATATTGGCTCCTTCAGATGAGTGCCTACTCCAGTCACTACATATCCAGTAGCCACTCAGATGATTTGGGATCAATCATGTGATAAGTGTACTTTCAGACGACCAGGGGCCCCCAGTCGACCAGGGGTTCCCAGGCGACCAGGTCCTCCAGATGACTAGGGGTCCCACTGCCCCAGGCGACCAGGGCCCTCCAGGCGACCAAGGGCCAATGCGATCAGGTCCCCTAAGCGATCAGGGGCCCCCAGGCGACCAGGGGGCCCCCATGCGACCAGGCCCCCAGCTACCAGGGGCCCCCAGGCGACCAGGGGGGCCCTCTAGGTGACCAGCGGACCTCAGGCGACCAGGGGATCCCAGGCTACCAGGGGCCCAACGCGACCAGGGTCCCCCAGGCGACTAGGGGCAACCGGGGGCCCCAGGCAACCAGGCCCCCCGGCTACCAGGGGCCCCCTGGGCGACTAGGCACCCCCAGGCGATCAGGGGCCTCAATATCATGCAACCAGAGGCCCCCATGCGACTAGGGCCCCCTAGGCGACTAGGGGCCACAGACTATCAGGGGCCCATACGACCAGGCCCCCGGCTATCAGGGCCCCCTAGGCAACTAGGGGCCCCCAGTCGATCAGGGGCCTCATGCGACCAGGGGCCCCCCATGCGACCAGGGCCCCCTAGGCGACTAGGGGCCACAGGCTATCAGGGGCCCCCATGAGACCAGGCCCCCGGCTACCAGAGGCCCCCTAGGCGACCAGGGGCCCAGGAAACTGGGGGCCCTTGGATGACTGCAGGGGCCCCTCGGGTACCCAGGGCACATAAATGAAACTTTAATATCAATTTTTCTTCCGAGTAAAGACGTTTTATCCAGTGTTTAAAAAATATCCTGGGGCCTGAGGGGCCCCCTCCCTGAGCGCTTCGGCGCTCAGGGGGGGGCCTTGGCCCCCGTGGCCCCCCCCTTGGGTACGTCACTGGCCCTTATAGCGGTACAGCGCGTAAAGTTTGATGCATGAAGTCTTGCGTGAAGAAAAAAAAACACTTCCACGCCCTGGGCCTCGTTTCATAAAACTCTGCCGTAACTTACACCTTTCCGTAATTCACACCCTTTCAAACTACGGAGCGCAAATGAAGCGGTTTCACAAAGCCACAACTGGAATTGTTTACACCTCCGTAACTAAGCACATTTGCGTAGTTGCCGTAATTTATCAAGCGTCCTACAAAATACAATTTCGTGTCAACACTTATTTTTTACGAGAAATTATAAAACAATTATGTTGAATTTTAATCTTAAAAATTATTTATGAAAAAACAAAATTGATATTGATGACCATCCTTTATTAAATCAATATATTGAAAACAGCAGAAAGCCAGCTAAGCAGAAGTGCCTTACTACGAAAGTGGCGCGGCGCGGCGAATAAACAAAATTCCGATAGCTGCCACAAAAAGCGACTGGTACAGAAGATTTGCAGTTTCTTTTTCTCATTTTGGCTGTTCTTTCTTCCTCACCGGGCTCAACATTATAAAATATATTAAAAATTAGCTTCGAATCTTCACATTAATTCAAATTCACGCAACATTTTTGTGCGTAGTTTACACCACTGACATCAAGAACTTGATAAAATATTTGGCGTTAATTACGACGTTTTATGAAACCCAAATGGCATCAATTGGTCCGGATTCGAGCATTTGCCGTAAATGAAGCTCCGTAATTTCGATGGCGTGAATTACTCCGGTCTCCGGCTTTATGAAACCGAATTGGCATTAAATACGCCAAATCTGGCATAATTGACGGAACGCCGTAAGTAATTCCTTTTATGAAACGAGGCCCAGGTAGAAAGTCAAACGCATTTTAGCAGCGCATTTTGTATTAGAATGAG